TTTCAGGGAATCTGAGAAATATGAATTAAGTGCTACATTTATCGGAATTGAAGATGTTGTACTGTGGAAGCTGAGTTCACTAGATGCATTATCATTTGACGACAAAGACAGGAAATCGTCAGAATCATTACCTACATCATAATTATCTAACAACATAGTAAAATGAAATAAAATATATAATATATATAATATATAAATATAAAACTAAATAGTTAGATTAAATATATAAGTAAGTACCTAAACAGATCTCTATCCCGCCAGCAGTCTGAAAGAGATGAATCAAAAATAATAATAATAATAATAGATGTTTCAGAATAACTTAAATACAAAAGAGACAATTTTAAACAAAACAAAACTACCAAAAACTGTAAACAAATAGCATTTTACAAATAAAAATATGTAATGAGCACAAAGAGAATTGTTATAGAGATGTTGCTTTGTGATAAGAAAAGAAGTCAAAAATTCCATAAGGTACGGCTGTATGACTATGTGACTTTTGCCTACACCGAAGAAAGAAATAAAAATGTGCAACTGTTATCTAATGTTATGCCAATTCACTTATTGTTTGTTTACATCGAAATGGTTTTTTATATATAAGTTACAAGTAACTACCTCACATCGTATATATAAAAGAAAAATGGTAATATATATTAATAAAAAATAAATTAATAATTTTTCAATAAAAAGAATGTAAACAAACCAGAAATACGGTAGTCGCACAAGATAAAACAGATTTAACCAGCTCCAAAAAAGGATTCATTTTTTACCAATTCTCTTGGTTCTTACTTGAGCAGACCTGGAGTCTTTCACCACACTTGGTACCGAGGTTGCAGCAGATGTGGCTTGAGTTACCGATTCAGAGGTCGAAATAGCATCAAGATCAAGCCTAGAATGGATACGATGGCGTACTTGATCAGGTCCTAGTACGAAGATGATGCCATCCCTCGTCCAGCACCTTGAAACTCCGAAACGTTGGCGCGTCGCTTGGAATGTAGTATGGCGACCCTTTGTAAGAAATTCGGACAATGTAATCCCAGTGCCTTTCAAATTTTTCTTTGCAAGCCATATCTTCTCTTTTGTCCCATAGTCTCTAAATTCTACAAGCACAGCCCGGGGTTTATCAGTGCCAGGTTGACCAAGACGATGTGACCGGCCTATCCAATCAGTGGTAATACCAGGGACTTTCAAGTGCTCGGATAGAACCTTGACAACACTAGAGGATGTGTTCTCTTTCTTGTCTTCGGCTATACCATGAACAAGCAGGATTTTTCTTCGAGATCTCATCTCCATGTTATCATATTGTTGAGCTAATAGTTCAACTTGCAGTTGCAAATTTTTCTAAAGCAGTTAAAACAAAGCACCGGAATGAATTAAATTGGTGATTAATATTTGAAGTGGGGCTTGTTGCTGGAATTGAACTCTTGAGATCTTTTTGGAACTCGGCCATCCTTAAGTTGAAATGTTCAGTGAGGTCCGCAACAGATTTCTTAATTGACTCCATTTGTTTTTAAGGTTATAACAATGTGGTAGTGAAGTGAATGTGCTAAAGAGTTCAAGTTATTCTAAATATATTTCAGACTTGACTGGCAGGAGTTTATATATCACAGGAACATTAAATTTATATTCAAAAGTCCCTAGATATAATATTATAGAAATTAAAGATTTCAGTGTATTAAAATATGTCTAACTTAATCAACTCCTACCCGCGAAAAATATTTTAATAATTTAATTTTTAGACTAATGTTATGTTGTCGACGCCCTCTTGAAAAGATGCATATTTTACTTTTTAACGGTGAGATATCCAAATTTATAGTTAAAAATAAATCATTTAAAATGTCTAATGCCAATTGCAGTTGATTTTCCGCCTCTTTCAAGTTTTTAGAAGTTATAAATATGACATAATCATCAGCATACTGGGAGATATTAAGACGTGTTTTGGAAATTATAGACTTACATATATCTATTGTAGCTATGTTAAACAATAGCGGAGAAAGTGGATCTCCTTGTGCTAGACCGCGACCTGTACTTCTAGTTATTTTATAATCTATCCCTTCAATTATTAAAAATCTTTGGCTTAAATAAGTCCAGAGATAGTTGCAAAATTTTGCGCCATTATTAAGGCGATCGAGGGTCGATAAAAGATAATTTATGTCCACATTATTATATGCGTTTTCTAGGTCTAAAAAGCATGCTACTGTAAGAAGATTTTTTGTAAACCCTATTTGAATGCTTGTAACTAAATTGGTTAAATTATCATGACAGGAACGTGATTTTCTGAATCCTTTAGTTTCCTCAGAAAGTAGTTTTTTGTTTTCACACATATACCACTCTATACGGTTATTGATAATGGCATGAAATACTTTACATAAGCATGAAATAAGAGAAATAGGTCTAAGAGATGAAGTACAACTAGTGTTCCTACCCGACTTAGGTATAAGTAGCTATAATGCGAACATGTCGCCATTGGTATGGAGCAAAGCTTTGTGTAAAAAATATATTATAAAGATTGAGTAAAACGTTTTGGCCCACTATAGGTAAATTAAGTAACATTGAATAAGAGATATCATCTGTGCCCGGGCACGTGTCTTTAGATTTTAAACATTTATAAAGCTCCGATCTAGATATTTCGGTTTCTAATTTAGGATTTTGAGATGTGTAACCTGGGTAGGGTTGACTTACATAGTCAGGGGTTAAGTTGCACAATAATGACTCAGCAATACTTTTTCAATTTGTGGTTTAGCTGATCTATAACCTTTTAACCACTGAATTTTTCTTCACATTTCAGAAGCTGAAGATATTTCATTCAAGGACGTACAAAATTCCCACCATCCTTTACTTTTAGCGTTTCTAATTAGTTTTTTGAGCCTTGCGAGTTTTTTTCCTGCAATCTATTTAAATTAGCCGGTGTGGGATTCTGTCTAAATATTTTAAGTGCTAGCCGTCTCTCTGCAACAGCGTGAGACAGATCAGGAGTCCAATATGGCTTAGGAATAAAATTAGCCTTGGGATTTAGGCATATTTTAATAAATGGAATACTAGCTTCTGCGGCTTTGAACAACAAAGTGATAAAATCATCATAGGCTTCTTGTGGATTACTTGAAATTTCGAAATGAGCGCACTCTTCTTCTATTACCTGACGATACTTCACCCAGTCAGCTTTTTTAAAGTTTCGTTTTTTATGAGTAATAGGAGAATGATTCATAGATGATGAAATCTTAATTATTAGGTGGTCACTACCTAAACACTCGTTTGTAACATTCCAATTAAACTTAAAAGCGATATCAGATGATATAAATGTAATGTCGGGAGCTGTCTGTTGTAAGATACCGCCAACTAATTTTAATCGCGTAGGCCTGCCATCGTTTATAGAAACAAAATTATGGTCTTCTAATGAGTCCAGAATTTGCGTGCCCCTAGAATCGGTTTTATTCGACCAATTAGGGTGATGTCCATTAAAATCTCCAAGTATTAGAGTCTTTTTTATCAGAAAACGAAAATATTGAATCCCAATCACTACATGAAGTTCGAGCACTAGGCGAGCAATATAGAGAAATTATATGTTCAACAATTTCACAATTAGAAATTTTAACGGATTCACCTCAATAACCGCGTTGGCACTTCGCAGTGGAAGCAACTGAGCCGAGAGAGATTTGTGTACTATTAAAGCCACTCCGCCATAAGAGTCCGTCCTATCAAGTCTAAATACGTTATATTCTCTAAATTTAAGTGTTATATCAGGATTCAACCATGTTTCCGAGAGCGCGGCGATATGAATTTTCTCTTGACCCAAGAGATGTTCAAATTCCGCACACTTTGATTTAATACTTTGAGCATTCCATTGCAAAATGTTAAGGCTGTCTTAACCTATTATTACCGAGTAAATTTTGTAAAAAAGACAAGTTCGAGATATTTTTAAATATCCATGTGATTATCCATTCAAAAAATAAGTGCACTACATTCTCGATTCTACTTTTTAAAGGCTCATTACTCTCATTAGAGATAAAACTTTTAATTTGGCTTAATAAATTAAAGAAAGGAATATCAGATTGTACATTACGATTCTTTTTTTTTGTTTTGTTCAGACACTGGTTGATCACATACACTACTTTCAGACTCTGTCGACATATTGCCGTCATGTATATACTCTTCTAAATTAGGTTCTTGAATTCTCTTCTTAATCTTCTTAGTTGTGTCATTTCGAACAGATTTTTTCTTGTTAATGGGGCTCGATGACACGGCCTGCGCGTAAGTAACTGGTGTAGAAATCTCCTGAACCGGCAAAATAGAGCTAAAAAACTTATTTGTGGTTCCTGGGATAGGTTCCGGCAATTGAGGCATCTTATTTACATTACCTAAACGGGGCATTATTATTATATATTACTTATTTCTTTAGATTTCTCTTTTCTGCTTTTCACTTCTTCCCAGTCTCCTTCTTGCTCACATCCTCTAGCTTTTTTTTGTTCGATTTGAAGGTCCGAAGGCGAAGTATTCCTACCTCTTTTGCCCAATATTTGGCTAGATTCGTAGTTTATATGCTGTTCCAAAAGATCAGACATTTCCTCTAGTATTGGTTCTTCCCCCGCTGACTCAGTAGAAAGAAGATCAGCCTCCATTATTGTTCAACTGAACGGCCGGCCCCGCTTGGCCAAGCCGTAAACGCAGGTAACAAATTCCTAAGCCGATAATAACCGTGCGCGCAACGATACACGTACGAACGGCTCGAGCGCCACTTCGCCACTGTGAATATAATTAACGTGTTTGGCCGATGGTTTTATTGCACCGGGCGATTTTGGACATTGTCCTTTCCACTACACTAAGCATTTAAAAATTGCTGTTAATAATCAGTGAATAACTGATAATCACATGAGTTGGATCAAACGACGGTGATTTAAGTAGGCCAGTTTACAGAACTGATTTTCCGTTCTACAGAACCCTTACGAATATTCTCTTATTTATTTTTTCTGTTATACAATCTTGTCAATGAAATATTATATTTACAGGAATATTCCGCACGTACAGAAACGCATTACAATCATACGCGACTACATCATGGTATTTGCGTCACAGATATGTGTCAAGAGTACCTAGCGCAAAAAACCACAGAGGACCTTAAAGTAATACTTGAAGGGTGCTTAAATAGTTCATTTTGGGAAAAATACAGATTAAAAACAAGGATTAATGAAGACTTAGTTTGTAACCACCAAGATGAAACATTTGAGTTGGAACCTGGTGACATTGGTGTGGCTATGATGGTGATATCTTTAGTTGTACTCAACATTAGTGGAATCATTTACGACTGCTTTACTCTTCAGAAGAAGGACCACGAAGGTAATTTTGTTTTCATTTTTAATAAATTACTTTTCCTTCGCCCCTTTTGAATATGACAATATCGTTTAAATTAAAGGTTTACGTTACTTTACGTGATGTATTTTATAATAATATTATTACTAATCGTTAATTTCCAATCACAATGGTTCATGAAATAAAAACATGCTTAGATTATTGTCTTATTTCTATAATATAATTATTGCAACATTGACCATTGTGAGAGAGCAGAACCTGTACTAGTATACCCTGTGTTACAGTGCTCCGACCCCACACTCGGACTTGATTCATGTGTTGCTAGTACCATACCATACCAAATAATCGATACTTAAAACATATGTTGTAATAAAAATTCGCGCTTTCTATTATATGTGCTCATCTTAATAAAATGTAATTTATAATTATTACTCTCTCTACTCTGTGGCCATTACTAGCACAAATGTATTGTAATAAGTTAAAATAAAATTTTGCTATATTCTTTAGAAATCAGTAGTATTTTTATTTAAAAATAACAGGTTATGGGCCCAGGAAGTCTGATAAATGAAATCAGTGCAAAAAGTTAATAAAATCTGGCTTGCAGTTATTTCTTCTAATTAAACATGTCATCAAATAATTCACTGGCATTACTTGAGAAATTGACCGGTTGTGATAACTATACCACATAGCGTTTTGCTGTTAAAACGTATTTGCAGCATGAAGAGTTATGGAATTGCGTAGAACGCAACGATTTAAGTACAGTTGACCAAAAGCGTGACACTAAATTCAGAACCAAGATAATAAATACTTCTTGTTATCCTGTAAACTATATACATATTCAAGAGTCAAGCTACGAAAAAAGTTTGAGAACATTTAGCTCGCGCTTTTGATAATTCCGGACTAACACGCCGAGTTGGTCTGCTGCGAGACTTATGCAATACTACGCCAGCTGGATGTCTAAATGTAGAGAAATATGTCAGTAAAATAATGAAAACGGCCCATAAGTTAAGAAACATTAGCTTTCATGTAGATGATGAGTGGCTAGGTACACTTCTGCTATCCGGTCTGCCTGATAATTACAAGCCAATGACAGCTAGGTAGCCATTGAGAGTTCAGGCATAAAGATCATCTCTGACTCAATGAAATCAAAAACATTACAAGATATTAAACAAACTGAAAGTGATTCATCAGCTTTTGCTACAAGTCAGAAGAGTCACATTAAAATAAAAGATTTGACATGAGTTGACATGCAACAAATATGGTCATAAAAATATCGAGTGTAAATCATACAAACCCAATAAGGATCAGAAGAATGCAAATGAACAAAATAGTTCTTCCTGTAGAGTCGATTAGCATACACATGTGTACCAAACATAAACACCTTACGCTCGCTCGATCAAGATACACATGTGTACCACAAGTACTACCCTTTGAAAAATAATTTTTTTAATTAAAACAAAACCAAAGACACTATGCAATAGATAATAGTATTAAAGACAAAGATATGCTCTTTTATTTTAAACCATAACCTGGCAATGTTTCTTAGAAAAAAAGAAAGAAATCACTCTGAACTTTCGGCGTTCCACGTGTCGCTTTGATGAAGGTGCTCCGTCTTTTTTTATAGAATTTTATATTTGTGTCTGGACTAAAAACGAAAGTGTTATACTTTTTTATATTCCTTGTAATATAGTAAACACGTAGATATATAATTTGTGGTATAAAAAAGTGAAAAGTAAATTGCCAAAAGTACTTCGAAATACGGAACGCCCATTTTGGCGGTTGGGGTCATAAATGTGTTATTTTTCCAATTCTCATTTATTTTTAGTGTAAAATGTAAGTAAAAATAGTTTTCTTACATATTTCAAATAACTTGACGTTGTATTTATTTCAAATTCACACAAAAATATTTTTGAAATATTGTTCGAAATGTCATACAGATAAATATTATAATTATTATTTTTTTTAATTTTTTTATATTTTAATATTTTGGTATGAGTAACGAATAGAAACACATAAAACATAAAAATATACATATTTCCAAACATTTTCATATAAATTTCTCCAAAAACAAAAGTGTAGAATTCAAATTAGTAGTAATTTTGGCACTAAAAGTGAAGTATATACTACTACTTATGCTATAAAGGGTAATTTATGAATTTTATTATAATTTCTAACAACCAAAATAATTTTATTCAATAGTTTATACATTCAACAAGAATTCCTGTAAGTTTTATCCATAAATATTGTCTCAAAGTGAAAATATAGCAAAATTTGCAATATAGCAAAAAATTTGCTAATTTGCAAATTTTCCCGCCATTACGGTCGCGAGCGAACGGGAGTGTCAGGAGGCCACGTAATATACGTGGCCTCGCGAGCTAACAGGTTATGCTGCTGCCTTTATAGCTTCGTCTGAATACTGGTATGTTGATTCTGGCACTTTTCTACACATGACTAAATATAATAATTTATTTATAGAAGAAACAACTCCACGCATTAAAAGAATTAAAGTTGCAAATAATAAAACCCTACCCGTTCAAAGCTCTGGAAAAATAAGCTTAAGTATTTATGATGATAGAGGCCAACAAAATGAAATATTGTTTACAAATATGCCTGAACTAGCTACAAACTTACTGTCAGTAAGTCAAATTATTATTAATGGTGGCCAAGTGAAGTTTAGTAAGAACGGCTGTGTTATTGTCAATAGAAAGAATGTCATAGTAGCAACAGCAAGCTTAATATATAATATGTACCGGCTCAACATGCCTGATGGCTATGCATGCTTATCAGATACTATTAAGCAAGATACTTACCTGTGGCATCAGAAAATGGGTCATTTGAATTTTCAAAGTATGAAGAAATTGGCTGAGAATACTGCAGATTTAAAATTAGGAGAGAAAACAAACACGTCAGCGTTTTAAAAGTCAAGGGTCTCAGAGCAAAACCTACTTGAATTGATACACTCAGACGTCTGCGGACCGATGGAAACTGTCTTTAGGCAAAGCCAGATATTTTGTGACATTCTTCGATGACTACTCAAAGAAGATGTTTGTGTATACGGCTACGGCCACATATGTATAACAAGTCAAAAGTCCTAGAAAAGTTTAAAAAATTTAAGACGCTAGGTGAGAATCAGTCAAATCGTAGTATTAAAATTCTCAGATCTGAAAACGGACTTGAATATGTCAATGAAAATTTTTGAAACTTTCTCAAAGATGCAGGAATAACACATCAAACTACTGCATCGTACACACCAGAACAAAATGATACTGCCAAACGCATGAACAGAACTTTAATAGAAAAAGCAATATGTATGATGTTAAATGCCAACCTACCTAAAATGTATTGGGCTGAAGCATTTCAAACAGCCGCTTACATTGTCAACAGCTTTCCGACAAAATCTCTGTCTTATAAAACTCCACAAGAGATGTGGACTGGTCAGAAACCCAAAGTCAGCCATATGCGTACATTTGGATGTGAGGCAATGGTACATTTACCAATAGAAAAAAGAAAAAAGTTGGATTCAAAATCACAAAAATTATTTTTTGTTGGCTACTGTCAAATTACAAAAGGGTATCGATTCATATTACCTAATTCAAGAACAGTAATAAAACGTAGAGATGCAATATTTTTAGAGTCAACAGTTGAAAGAGATTATGTGTCAATTGAATTAACTATAAATGAAAGCAGTACAACAATTAAATATAGTAAAGGAATCTCAAGTGATGACTCATTTGATACTGTGACTGACAACAGATTACAATCAGACAGCGAGTACATCCCCCATGTAAGTATAGAATTTTCACCTGAAAGAAATATAACAAAAACAAGAAGACAATGTTTAAATGCTTAAAAACGAGAAGAAAGCTCTTACCTGTGAAGTGAAGACTTATTATCAGAAAATGAAGTTCCTAATAGCTATGAATAAATGAAGAACTTCACTCTCATTTCAGAATCTCATCACCAAAATCATGCTTAGACACTAGTTCATAAAACTCCCAATATGCAATTAGTTGGGTAGTGGGATGTAAATGGGTGTTTCCCATAAAAGAAGAACCTACAGGTCCACGTTATAAGTCTCCGCTTTGTGCGAATGGATACTCACAAACCAAAGGTATTGATTGCCACGAAACATTCGCTCCAACTGTCAGGTGTATGTATGGGGAGCTCGAAGAAGACATATATATGACTATACCTGAGGGCTTAAGCTGTGATGCTAATAAGGTATGTATACTCCATAAATCTTTATATGGCTTAAAACAGGCTCCCAGATGCTGGAACTCAAAATTTGATGCTGTTTTGAAGAAGTTTGGACTAGTCAATAGTAAAGCTGATCTGTGTGTGTGTGTGTGTGTACCTACATGTACTATCAATGGAGCAAAATGTTACTTGTGTTTGTATGTTGATGATGGACTAATATTATCAAAAGATAGTTCAACAATAAAGGAGTTGATTGATGACGTACTGTCAATATTTGAAGGAAAAACTTATTCCCTCAGAAACTTTGTTGGTGTGCAGATAAAAAAATGTGACAAGTACATGTTTATACATCAGCCAAACTACATTGAGATATTATTAAATAAATTCAATTTGTATAATTGTGAACCCAACAGCATTCCAGTTCACCCACCCATAAAGTTGAAAAAAGGAGAAGGAGAAACAGAAAAGAACACCATATCGTGAAGCAGTTGGATCATTGTTGCATCTAGCTACAGTAAGCCGACCTGATATTTCGTTTGCTGTAAGCCTGGTAAGTCGATTTTTAAACTTTTACAATGAAAATCATTGGAATGATGTGAAGAAAATCTTCAAGTATTTAAAAGAGACCAAAGATTATGGTCTGTGCTACACACCAATGTCTGCGCCTAATACAGTAATAGGATATAGTGATGCAGATTATGCTAACGACCTTAACACAAGACGATCAGTCACAGGATATGTTTTCATAAAAAATGGAGCAGCAGTGACTTGGGCATATCAAAAATAACAGACAGTGGCCCTCTCCACCACGGAAGCAGAATTCATGGCAGCCTATGCTGCTACCAAAGAGGCTATATGAGTTAACCAACTATTACGTGATATCAATGAATTTAACCAGAAATATATATGTTTGAACTTAGATAGTCAAAATGCTATAAGTGTAATTAAAAACCTAAACTTTCACAAACGATGCAAACATATAGACATTAAGTTTCATTTCATTAAAGAAAAAATTTTATGTTAAATCTATTGAGTAAAACTATAAGTGCACTGATGAGCTATATGCTGATATTTTTACCAAACCTTTGAGTAAAATAAAATTTTGTTATCTCAGAGAAAAAATTGGAATTAAATCCGGCCATGTAGTCAAGAGGACTTGATTTTGTTTCTATATTCTTATGTTTATGTCTAAAATGTAAAAGTAATCATTAGAAAGCATTAATTTAGGAGGAGTGTTGTAATATAAATTCGCGCCTTCTATAATTATTACTCTCTCTACTCTGTGGCCATTACTAGCACAAATGTATTGTAATAATTTATAATAAAATTTTGCTATATTCTTCAGAAATCAGTGTTATTTTTATTTAAAAACAAAAACATAAATACATATGAAAGAAAGTGATTGAAGAAATTGCGATGTACAAGCTAGATTTATTAAAAGGACATAGATAAGATTTTATAAATCCGAATCTGGTCTTTAATTACAAAAGATTTTGGCCAGAAACCAAAAGGTTTTTTTGTGGATTTTTGAACTTAAATTATTATACAGGGTTGTGTTGACAATTCGGTCACCTGAATTTGAAGATTCTGTCACTGTGGCGGGGTCAAGGGGGTTTATCTGAAGCACCCCCACGCAATTTTTGCTGCCGGTGCAGCGTCTTAGTATTTTTAATTGTTTTTTAAAATTTCTGGTAAATGACTAACGTTTTTAATGTTTCATCTGTAAATGTCATATCGATATATAGTACTGAATCGATATTTCACCCTAGAGAATCGACATCGAATCTTTTTCTGTTTTATTAAGATTTATAAAATTATTTAAAATTAGTTGAATGACAGTTTTTCAATTCATTCATTCAATGTTATCTGTACTTTATTGTATCTTTTGATATTGTAAGTATAAACTTCTAACGCCAATCAGAAAAAGATCTTTAAGATTTCGATTTTTTGTGAATCGATTCATCCAATTTCGATTCGAATCGATTTAAAATGTGTAATCGCTAGGCCGGCCATTTTGTTGACAGCTTTTCGTCATGCCGTTGCTTCTGAGTTTGAGAATTGTGGTGAATAATGGACTATTTGTGGCGGCGGAATACTGCTAAATATCGCAAAGATCCTTTCCTGCAAATGGTGGCAGCCATAAATTGGGTTTATAAATTTTAGTAGTTATAAAAGTTAATAGTTTGGTGTTATATTGAGTGCGATGCGAGCCTGGGACGTGGGGCACCTCGACTCGGACAGGTTAGGTTGGTAGGGGATGACATCCTCTTCGTGGTTATTTTTTTATAATCCACTCCCGCAAAGCGGGGCTCCGTCGATCGAGCTTCCCTCAGCTGCACCACGTTAAGTGACGTGGGGCTTCCGTCCCCCAACTCTTTTTCCCCATAAATCAGGTTAAAATTGTAGTAAAAATTACGAAACATAACCTCAAAATGAGATTTTTAAAAAGTTATTAAAAAAATAAAGCACATCCGGCAGGAAGGGGAAGTAGGGGGGTCACTTTAAAACTCCTCCCCCTCCCCCACACTACCCCCACCCCCTAATTCAGGCGACCGAAAAAAAATTACCCATTATACAGGTTGAGAAATTGTGTTTACAAGAATATGTTGTAACCAGAATTAAGAAAAGAATGCTTTAATGGTTTGGTCACGTAGAAAAAATAATTTGGAAGAAGCGAGAAAGCAAATTTATGCTGAAGTAGTGAGTGATAGAGTTATCATGGGATGCACCTGAAAAGCGTAACGCAAAAATATGAATATATTGAAAATGGGCCAAGTTAAGAGTACCATTAAAACCGACAAGCATGTATGCGTAGATATATCGATATGAAAGTAGTAGTGAATGAATTGTCAGAATCTTTCCAAATGGAAGTCTATGAACGACAAGCGTGAGAGTTTAGGTGTGGCAAGAGTGAGATAGTTTAATGTGGTCACTCGATTAAATAATGTGTATTTTTCTTGTGCATTTCCATATAGTTATACAGGCTTACGCTATTACATATATTTATGCTATTTTATATATATATATATATATATATATATATATATATATATATATATAAAACATGTAACATAATGAACGCACTTTGAGAAAGTAGTTTGTTCAGAATCGTTTACTGAATCGATTCTATCATTTTTATTAGGTAATTTTTTCCAAAAATAGTTAAAACTGCGTAAATTACAGTCACACTAAATCTGTACAGTCAAAACAAGCTGAAATGGACCGTAAATTAAGGCAATAAGACTTTTAAGAATGCAGTTTTATTTGTATTATTACTAATTCTGTCATTCAATAAAAATAAAGAAAAATGAACTCTATTTCAAGCATGTTAAAGTCTTTGCGTTCGTGGATTTGTACTGTGACCACAACATTCTTCCGGAATTAGTATAATTAATTTGATTAATAATCAGTGCATAAAAATGTTTAACTAAAAATTCAGTGTATGTATTATGATTATAACATACTAATTGGGGTGTCTGAGGGTGTGCGTTAATTACGTTACATATTGTATATTTTTTTTTTTTTTTTTTTATATATATATATATGCTATTATACCTCCCGAGATAAAGTTTCGAATGTATACGTTTAAAAAAATATTTCGTTTGTTTTTCAGTAAACAAACTACTTCGATGCTTTTCGATAAGACGTAATTGGCTAAAGTTGGTAGCTCCTGTAGCAAATGGAAACGAACGACGGTTTAAGCGTCTAAAGAGTTTCAATGGCTTAAGGTACGAGCACAGCTTATTCTTAAAACATTTATTAATTATTATGCATTGTTTTCTCTATTACGAAAGAATACAAACGTAGACATAGAAACCTATAGATAAATTGACGCCTGGTTTCGCATTCGCACACGAAAAAATAGATTTATTCATACGTCTTGTATAGAAATGACACAGAGTGGTGTGATTGTTTGTCCCTTTCTCCGCGCCGGTTTTTTGTTTAGAAAACCACACTTAGCCAAACAACTTTGACAGTTCATAGCGATCTAAGGAGTTTACAAGATGGTTTAAGTGAGAAAAAAAGTATTTTATGAGCTTAAGATTGGTGAATCTTGTTCAGTTCAGTTCTTTGAACAATTAAAAATTTTATCTAAATATTTTTAAGTCATAAAGATTATTTTATAACCTAAAACTATGTTATCGTCGTTTCTCACACGAGGCCCAGCTAATCATTAGTCTATAGGTTTCTCTGTCTACGAATGCAAATGACGGACTTAATTTCATTAGACATACTCTATCAGTCTTAATGTTATTAGATAAAAATTTGACGTATATGTAGCAGTATAAAAAATGACAAATATTTGAAAACAATAATTACACAAAATAATCCTGATATTTAACTAAATATATTATACATTGTATAGTTAAATAGAACATACAAATATAACTTAAATCTATAATAACTATGAATATGAACTTGGATGAATAATGCAACTAGAGTTGTCGGTATCGGTTACAAAATTATTTCTTGTATTTAGGCCAAAGAGATATATATATATATACACTATAGAGCGGACATTGGAAATATTTACATACAAAACCTGTGAGCTCGCGCATGTGTTACACCCTCTAGCGAAACATAGTAATACGACGCGCTAGTAAAATATAAGGTAAAAATGATTTTTAGGTACGTCGTCAATGACTAACATGTTAGTAAATAAATAGTGACGTTACTGGATAACAGAGGGCACTTATTGAAATAATTTTCTTTCTTCTAGAACAATCTATAAAAAATAATAAAATTTAACGATTATTTGGCAAATATACATTATTCTTACAATAATAAACCGAAATCATGTTCTCCATATCGTGACTTACAATGACTTAATGCCCAACCGGGCACATTTTCTTTAAAAATAATTTTTAAATTTATGAAACGAATGCGTCTTGACCTTTTTACGATGTCACTAAGACTAAATGACAAAAAACGGAGATATATCCTACAGATGTCCTGTCTATTACTACTACATACTTAAATGTCTTTGATTTAGGCTAAGACTTTTATTGAGTTAATACATAATGATGTCAATTGTTAAAAGTAATAATAGTGCGAGAGCTTGTGTGTAACTTGCTCTCTTGCTTACACAATCAATCAGTATCGGCAATAAAACAGCATACTGCACTATACTACATTCAGCGTAGAGCAATTACAATTCACCATAAGGTAACATGTCCCCGTCACAATTATACAGTAGTGTAGCTTGAGTGACGTAATAACATGATAACAACGAAGTGTCCAAATCAACAGCAACGCTACCAAATCACACTGTAACACATGGCAGCCTGTTAGCAACACGATCTTCCTCGCCTGCCCTAGAAGAATCACTACAACGGACAAAATCACGATAATGTTATGAGTCTTATCACTCGTATAATGACTTTATCGGAATATCTAGCGCACAGCGCTTGCAATAAACTTTTTTACTGCACAAACGATTGGGGGTTTCTCGATATACCTTCAATTCCACCTTGTCACCATCGATATGTAGTCCAGTCAAAATAGACATTTGACTTAGCCAAAATTCGCATAGAGCTGAAAATTGGTTGAGACGCTAAACACATCATTATAAATAAAATGTCAAAAATCCCCTTCGATCCTACTTCTGCAAGAAGTGTTATTCAAGGTCAAATGTACAAAATTAAGTATTTTTCCATTTTTCTCGAAAACAGTAAGTTTTATCGTAAAAATAGTTCAGACAAAAGTAGTAAATCATACAATTTCCTACAAAAATGATCCAGTCAGTTTTCTCTTACGACTCAGCATTCGTGAGATATCGCGGTTTTAATAATTATATTTTACACATTATATATATATATATATATATATATATATGTATATAATTCATATTTTACATAATATGCACACATTTCCGCACCACCTATGAGGTAATTGTACTCGGCGCATTTTTTAACTTGGCTTCGCCAGCTGGTATCTATTGTAATGCAGAAAGTTTGATCAGATCGTATACTATTAATTGAAAGAATGATAATATTGCTAATGATCAAAGTGGAATAGATTTCTTTTTTTTGTATAGGATAGGGTGACAAACGAGCCACCTAAGTAAGTAGTTGCTGTGGTCCATAGACATCTACATCTATCCTCGATTACGAATCAAAATGCAGATGCGTTGTCACCAGTGAGGACTAAGATGGAATGCCTTATTTCCAGTAAAAAGGGTCTCCGGTTCTCTACACTCATCATACAAAAACACAGCAGCATAAAGCATGGCTCTACTACGCATAAAATTCTTTTCTAAATGTTATATTATATTAGATAATTGACTAATTCTACTTGGAAAATTATTTCTTCGTCTTCATTTCCTTCTTCTTGCAGAAAGCTGATCTAAGAAAATGGATGCAATATCTTTTAATTCATATCATAAATATTTTCATCTGTTTTATTTGTTTCAATATAAGCAAGTCTGACCCCGATAATTGATGCATGCTGGCGAACAAAACAATCCCACTTTATGACAGCTACAATTATTACTGCAATCCAACTTGCATTTACAAAAAAATAGTATTAAGCACTTTTTCTGGAGCAGGCGGGAGTAGAGTTTGAATTGGCTTCAAATAATTATCTGTTAATTTACAACCCCATCCTTCTGGGTCCAGCTCATTGCCTAGCTACACTTGAACTTGGTAATACACACGATACATGTGTTGTAAGGCAGAAGCAGATATCGGAGGCAGACAAGACAACTGTTCTGTTTTATTGTTCCATGCAGATTTTACAAACCTCAAATATCTATATTTGTCTATGGAATCAACTTTTTTGGCGCACCATACATTGCAAGAAGAAAACGAATTCCATTTGTAACGATGTCGTGTCAAGAAGAGTCAATCTTTGTAAATACTTCTGCGCTATCAATTAAATTATTACGTTTTTCGAACAATTTTAATACTGCTATTTTATCTCTTTTAAAAATTGCTGATGTAGTATCGCAACCAGTTATTACATGTAAAAATAAAATACGAGCTTGAAATTTCGGATATGCAGTTAGACGTTGTGATAAATATATTGTTGATTGTACTTGAGCTTTCCCAAGTTTCAAGTCTTAGTTCATATTATGTAAAATATCAATTTTCTAATTATTAAAACCGCGATATCTTACAAATGGTGAGTCGTAAGTGAAAAAGTAAATGAAACATTTTTGTAGAAAATTGTATGATCTACAACTTTTGTATGACCTATTTTCACATAGGCTTCTAATTCGTTTATCTATTACATCCTATTTTTTTTATTCACGCTCTAAAAGTTTATCATTGTTGCATAGATCTTTAATCCAAAAATGCCTCTTTCGTCATGAAATTCACTTCATGAAATCTTAGACACTGTATATACATAATTTACGTGTGGCTTTACAAAGTATTTTTAATAGAATAAAGGAACAAATGAGCACAAATTCTAGGTAGACTAGGCAGGTAAGAGGATAAGGTGGCCCATTGACTTCCAAATCTGTCGTCAATTAGAAATCAAAATGCAAATTCGTTGTGACCCTTGAGAAATCAGATGGAATGCCTTGTTTCCGGTAAAAAAAGTTCTCCGGTTCTCTACACTCAGTATACAAAACATAAAAATATTAAGCTGCAATTTCACGCTACTATTTTATAAACATATATCTCCAATTGAATGAAAAAGGGTGGCAAAACGCTTGAAACTTTACTTAGAAGAATTTCCGAGCCAGCTTAACTGTGTACTAATAGTAAGCAAGTTTTTAATTAAATGGTTATTTTTCAGAGCAATCACAATATTCTTAGTTATAACGGAACACGCTTTACTTCCGTTTTTGATCGCCTCAGACAATACACTTTTCTTTGAAGAAGTAAGTACTACCTTTTTGACAAATAAGAATGACAAATGCGCACACATACATAATATAATGGTACATAGGCATCTACATCTAGCCCTGATTATCCAAAATACAGATATGTTATCACCCATGAGGTCTAAGATTAAATGTTTGCCTCCCGAAACATAGCAGCATCAACGTGCAGTTTTACGTAATATGTGAGAACGTAGTTCTACCGCGGTCGAGTCGACCTGTTCGTGCTACAACCATAATATAGCTGCGGCATGGCTCTACCACGTGTACATAATATATTATTAGTATGGTAACTGCTCTGGCAAATGTTTTTTTCTGTCCCTTTGGATAGGGAGCACGATGACCTTTACTCGGATTCACTCCGGGACTTTATACAGTGTAAATATGAAATTAATTAATAATCCGACCACAGAGCGATATTTGACGGGTTCCGATTTTGTGGTTTTCTTATGTGGAACTGAACCAACATACAATATGAATATGAGTTCTTTTGTTCAATAAATATAAATTTTGTTAATAATTTGATCTCAGAGCCAGCAATTGGATCACGATATAATTATGAACCATGATCTCAACAAAACATTGTGTGAATATGACTTCAATCTATTAAGTCGTTAAAAAGTTACGCGATCAGACGACAACAGATGAACCAACGATTACATACCATAACTGTTACCGTTACAGCCTACCAAAGTCCACTGCTGAATAGACCTCCCCATATACTGTCATAGGTGAATCGTTTTCCTTACTTTTAGTCCTTGTAGGGATGACACTGCTGCCCATCTCCTGCCTGTTTCCCTCAGTGATGAAAATTTTATCAAGTTGACGCCTCCTCTATGTATAACCCTACCCTGCTGTATATTATTACCCACCCTTAGTGTTTGCTTGCATTTCAAGTATTAGAGTCTAATTCTAGAGTCTAGAGGATAGAAATTCAAAATGACATGAGATGTATAGTGTTGCTAGTGGGAGTTGGTATAGGTTGGGACTCCAGTAAAAATCTTATTTTTCCCTCGGAACGTCAAAGTTCGCATGATTTTGTCCGTCAATTCATGACTACATAGTATACAAACACAGGAGAGGCGTCAATTTCATATAATTTTTATCTAAAGACACTTACAGGTAAATTACTTTGATCAATTAATAATATGTAATATGTTCAAAATACAGAAAAGTAATTTCACTGTACCTAGATCGAAATAATTATTGTGATCATTGTGATTTATTTATAAATGTTTATCCTTATGAATATAATTGTTACGAGTACCGTGTAATGGCGGTTTAGAATATCCACTACCCAATATCTTCCCGTGGGTATCGTAAGAGGAAACAGAGGGAAACAGGCAGGAGATGGGCAGCAGCATCTTTCTGATAGCAGCAACTGTACAAAACAATACTGCGGTTGCCAACCCGCTTGCCAAGCGTGCGCAATATACCCCCATGATAGTTAAAAAGAAACGGCTTCCAATCCCCGGCGGCCCCACCATTCCTATCGGTGGCGACCATAGTAACTTCGGGGAAGGGTGTCGTAAGAACCTCCGGTGGAGGTACGGTTGCCACTTAAAATGACTTGACCTGTCAAAATACAATGCACGCACCCTGAGGACCGACGAGAAGAGCCTGTTGCTGGAAGAAGAGATAAACAAGTTGCGCTGGAATATTATAGGATTATCCGAGGTCCGAAGAGAGTGCGAGGACACGGTGATTCTCGAATCCAGCAACATGTTCTATCACCGGGAGGGTGACCATCTGTCCCAAGGAGGTGTTGGATTTATCGTCCACAAGTCTCTCGTTAACAACGTTGTAAAAATTGGGAATGTGTCCACGAGGGTTGCGTACCTTATACTCAGAATCACCAAACGGTATTCTCTGAAAGTCTTTACGCACCAACCTCGGGACATCTCAATGAGGAGGTAAAGGAAATGTATAAGTATATTTCTAGATTCATGCATTCCTCCAAAACCCAAAATACGGTGTTAATGGGAGACTTCAACGCAAACTAGGCACAATAACGAACTGAAGATAGGAAAATTTGGGATAGTTCAATGAAACCCAAGGGGCCAGTAGCTGATTGACTTCATGGAGAAAGAGGGACTCTTTAAAACGAACTCTTTCTTTTAGAAGTGGCCATACAGAAAATGAACTTGGTCGAGCTCCTGATTGATTTCATTGTGACAACTAGACGATAACTGTTCAGTAATATCTCAGTAATCGCAAGAATGAAATCTGGCAACGATAACCGAATGGTTAGAGGCACACTGAAACTTAACATTAAATTGGAGAAGTTCCTCCTGCTCTAATCCAAAGTACCGAAGGCTTTCACCTTGAGTTTCAAAACCGTTTTCAGTGCCTAGAAAACGGTAATGCAGTGGACGATATGAATAACAAGCTCGTGGAAACAGTCTAGCTTCCACAAGTCTATTTGAGCTATGTTCTGCAGGACCCGCCGCAGAAGAACTCAAAAACTCTCCGATTACACTCCTAATCTCATGGCTGTTAGACGGGAAAAGCAACTGCAGTCTTCAATAGATTTAACAGCTTACAGGCAACTAAACAGAGAGGTTTCCGAATGCATGCGGCGGGACTTACACAAATTTAATACAGCTCGTATTGAAGAAGCGATCGAGCGGAACTAAGCCTCCAAAGTTTTACCAGAAATCTGCCTGCCAGAAAAAGACAACCGTCAAAGCTGAAATGATTTTTGTATGTGTATCGACTTTGAAGATTATGTATATTACATGTTGTTACATATAGTAGAGAAACTTCTACACCTTTGGGTGGTAAAAAGGCGATAAGGTTTTAAAGTAGCTCATCATCATCATCATCATTACAGCCATTCACAAGTCCACTGCTGAACATAGGCCTCCCCTAAGGTAATGCCACAAAGCACGGTCCTGAGCCACCTGCATCCATCGACTTCCTGCATGTCTTACTAGGTCGTCACTACATCTAGTGGGGGGTCGCCCTACACTACGCCTACTGGTACGAGGCTGCCACTCGAGAACCTTTCTTCCCCATTGGTTATCGGTTCTTCGAGCTATATGGCCGGCCCATTGCCACTTCAGCTTACTAATCCATTGGGCTATATCGGTCACTCTAATTTTACTGCGGATATCCTCATTTCTGAGTCTATCACGCAGAGAAACTCCGAGCATAGCCCTCTCCATAGCTCGCTGAGCGACCTTGAGCGTCCTCATACGGCAAGCAGTGAAGGACCACGTCTCTGATCCGTAAGTCATCACTGGCAACACGCACTGGTTGTACACTTTAGTTTTCAGAGATAAAGAGAAGATGGTCGTAATTTCCCGAACGCTGCCCAGCCGAGTTGAATCCGTCGATTGACCTCTCGGTCGAAGTTGGACTTATCTAGTCGGACTATTTGTCCCAGGTAAACGTACTCGTCAACAACTTCGAGCATAGTGTTCCCCACAACTACCAACATAGGTGTGACATGGACATTGAACATAATCTTTGTTTTGTCCATGTTCATCTTAAGACCTATCCGTTGGGAGACACCATTGAGGTCATTGAGCATAGTGCTAAGGTCCTCCAGCGATTCTGCCATAAGGACTATATCGTCGGCAAATCGAAGGTGAGTGATGTACTCGCCATTGATGTTAATACCGTATCCTTTCCAGTCCAGTAGCTTGAAAACGTCTTTCCAACGCACGCACGCACGGTGAAGAGTTTCGGGGATATAACGTCACCCTGTCTTACACCTCTCTGCAGTTGGGTAGGTTTCGAACTCTGGTTCTGTACTCGGATAGCCATCGTAGCCCTAATGTACAAACACTTCAGCACTTCGATATACTGACAGTCAACTTGGCACCGCTGAAGGGACTGTAGACCGCCCAAATTTCGACGGAATCAAAGGCTTTCTCATAGTCCACATACGCCAAGGCAAAGTGGCAGATTGTACTCTTCGGTCTTCTGTACAATCTGCCGCAGGGTATGTTGTGGTCTATGGTACTGAAGCCTTTTCGGAAACCGGCTTGTTCGGGAGGCTGGAAGTCGTCGAGTCTGCGTGCGAGACGATTCGTAATGACTCTTGAAAACAGCACGTAGACGCGGCTCAGAAGGGAAATCGGTCTGTAGTTCTTCAAGACGGCGTTGTCGCCTTTCTTAGAGAACAAGACCACCGCACTTCTGCTCCACGCCTCTGGAGTAGTGCCACCATGGAGGACGGAATTGAAGAGCTTCTGAAGGACTTCAAGTACCGGTGTTCCACCCGCTTTCAGAAGCTCTGCTGTAATTCCATCCTCGCCTGGGGCCCTGCCGTTTTTAAGGTGCTGGAGAGCCATTCTAATCTCGCTCAGACTGACTTCCGGGATATCATCGGAATATTGTCGGGTAAGACTTGCTCTTGTATCGTTAATAACACTTGCGTGTGGCTCCAACGATGATGTGTACAGCTGCCCATGGAACCTCTCAATCTCACTCAAAATCTAGGTGTCCCGGAAACGATGCTGCCACACCCAGTCTTTAGCCTTGACAGTTGGCTCTTTCTGGCAGACAGATCTCTGGAAAAGACTTTGGAGCCCTGGTTTCGCTCGATCGCTTCTTTAATACGAGCAGTATTAAAGTTGCGTAAGTCTTGCCGCATGCATTTGGAGATCTATTTGTTCAGTTGCCTGTATGCTGTCAAATCTGTTGACAATTGCAGTCTCATCTCCCGTCTAACAGCCATGAGATAAAGAGTGTGATCGGAGAGTTTTTGTGTTCTTCTGCGGCGGGTCTTGCAGAACTTAGCTCCGACCGCATGGACAGTTTCCACGAGCTTGTCATTCATATCGTCCACTGCATTGCAATCTTCTAGGCACTGAAAGCGGTTACGTAACTCGAGCTGAAAAGTCTCGGGATTCTGGATTAGAGCACGAGGGGGACGGAGCGTTGACTTCATTAGACGAGACCTCTCCAACTTAACGTTTAGGTTCAGTGTGCCTCTAACCATTCGGTGATCGCTGCCAGTTTTCACCCTTGCGATCACTGAGACATCACTGAACAGTTGGCGTCTGGTCGTCATAATGAAGTCAATCTCATTTTTTCAAGAAAGAGTTCATCATAAAGAGTCCCTCTTTCTTCATAAAGTCAGCCAGCTGCTGGCCCCTACGGTTCCGTTGCCCTACTCCAAATTTCCCTAACAGCTCACCGCCTTCTCTTGTGCCTAGTTTTGCGTTGAAGTCTCCCATCAACACCGTGTAGTGGGTTTTGGAGGAATGCATGGCTCTAGAAATATCCTCATACATTTCCTCCACCTCCTCATCGGGATGTGCCGAGGTTGGTGCGTAGACCTGTATGACCTTCAGCGAATACCGTTTGGTGATTCTGAGTATCAGGTACGCGACCCTCGTCGACACACTCCCAATCTTTACAACGTTGTTGACGAGAGACTTGTGGACGATAAATTCGACACCTTCTTGGGACAGATGGTCGCCCTCCCGGTGATAGAACATGTTGCTGGACTCGAGGATTACCGTGTCCTCCCCTTCTCTTCGGACCTCAGATAATCCAATAATATGCCAGCGCAACTTGTCTACCTCTTCTTCCAGCTCCAGTATCTTCTCGTCAGTCCTCAGGGTGCGTGCGTTATACGTTGCCAGGTCGAGTTATCGTAGGTGGTAACCGAGCCTCCACCGGAGATTTTTAGCACCCCCTGCCCCGCCGTTACCATGGTCGCCGTAGCTAGGAATAGCGGGGCCACCGGAGACTGGAGGCCGTTTATTTGTGTCGTCGCTCATGGGGGGATATTTGCCATAGTTGCCACGCTTGGCGAGCGGGTTGGCAACCGCAGTTTTTTATTATGTTATTGTTGTTATTAGGAAGATGCTGCTGCCCATCTCCTTTCTGTGTTCCTCTGTCGCCTCTTACGACACCCACGGGAAGATATGGGGTAGTGGATATTCTCAACCGCCACTACACGGCTTTTAAAGTAGCTATTTAGACAAAATTCAATCTTGTGATATTCCTCAATCCACTCAAGAGGTTTATGAAATTAGACTTTTAACAAAAATAAAAGGCGTCTTCAAAAATCAAAAAGAATACAATAATTTTTACATGACAGCTTTTGAAGTTAAGGCCTTAATATTTGTATAAACTAATTCTTCGCATCGACTTTTGAAGCTTATGTGTATTTTTAAATTCATTACACCTTTAATTTAAGGTCTTATTTTATAAAACAGTGTGGTTGACAAGCCAGCACAGTTCAACATATAATATGAATCCAGTACCGCCGTAATATGAGTATGATGGTATTTGAATTGACTGGATTGACACGTTCATCAATCCTCGATTAAAAATCAGATTGCAGAGGCGTTTGACTCCTGTAGAATAAAATGGAATGCTTCGTTAGCAGATTACGAAAGGTCTTCGGTTCTTGTAACCAACTTTACAAAACATAGCAGTATTGATGTTGCTGTCTCACATTGACTTACAATGCAAGAGAGGTCCTTCACCAGTCAACCTATTAAGACAACATATAACATACAACACACTCAAGATATAAAAATCAACAGATGCAGCCAGGTGCATCTAAAAAAATTGTCCATGTTTTATGGTGTTTTTTGGGGGAGGGATATTATCAGTATTGGACTATTGAAAAGCTGTAATGGTGATTAATTCGCACATGTTTACTTTTATGGCACTGAGTCTTTTTATGTTTTATTTCATCCAATTTACGTGTAATATCAAGGCTGAAATCAAAACCCGATCCAACTTTTAATATTATCAAATTGGGAAAGGTTCATACCGGACAGAACCTTTTAGGCCTTAATATTGTTAAATGTTTTAAGTGACAAAAGTATAGAATGATCTATGCAAAAATATTTTATTAACTCTTGTATCATATTGCAGAAATACCACAATATTTTATATCACTTATATTTTGACGGCACGATAATTGTGCAGATTTTCTTCATAATTTCCGGATGCTTGTTAGCCTACTACTTACAAGTATGGTCAGAGAAAAAAGATCTGAGTTGGAAAATGATACCCAAAGGAATCTTAGCGAGATGGCTAAGGTATGTAAGAAATAAATTTCATTAAAAATACGATAACGATAATGATATGAATATTGGTTGAGGGGTTACATAAACAAGTAATATCTGCATATTACCTACGCCTACACCTACTATTTTACTACACATGCACACATTCGCAAGGGAGTTTTGAATTCGGAAGCAGTCGGTGGCGTTCGGCGCTCGCGCTCTGTTACAGATTTAGGTATCTAATAGTTGTTTTGACTCGGTAAATACAAGCGCGTTTCCCCGTCCTAAAAACGTTCGTCCAGCGTCCAGCCTGCCGACAGTGTTGACTTGACGGTGACCTCATAACACAAGAGTGTCATATTAAAAATTTTCATAGGCAGTGTCATTTGTCACTTCGTTAGCAATGACGTCACGAAAATATTCGAATCGCGAATACTATGAAATGTAACGGTGTTACATTAGAAGCAATGAAAGTTTACGTGTTGCACAAAGATTATACTAAAGTAGTGTTATTCAAGATTATCTTGGACGATATACCCTTAGTGTTACTGAATAAATCTTATATCCAACACGAGGTTGCTCCATGAACTAATGTAAAAAATAATTTTCGGGAACGTGCTCAAATGTGCCGCTGTCCATTGTGAACACCTATTAAAATACCAATAGATTAGTGTGATTTTAAGTGATTACATATTTAAGTAGCAAAAAGTTCGTTGTTGTAAATAGTTAATAGTTCTACTTAATACTTGATTCGTATTTTTTAAATACGGCATAATAAATGCGGTCATCGAATACGCCGTTGAAATGTATTTTTTTTTTCATTTTATTTGTTACGTCGATTCTAAACCCGTTTATAGTATGATGGGAAAATTTAAATCATAATTCGCGTCGCGTAATTATCAACTGAGTAGCGAGCGTGTTATTAAGGAAGTAAATAGTAGGCAAAAGCTCTGTACATTTACTCGTACACTCACTCGCGCAAATTAAGTTGACGACAACGATTTATTTAAAAAAAAAATACAAAGTAGCAGCGTTAAAACTTACAATTACTTCCAAAACTAATATCCGTCTTACAGTTAACTTAGCCTAGTATTAAAATATATCTTACTATGCAACCCGTTCGGTGACGCACGGCCTATTTCTTATGAGTGCTTGTGAAGCAGATATTAAAGGAGTCATCACACTTAACCCCGCGCGTACGCTGCTATTGTGGCCTATAAATCACATTCAGTTTCGGATATATTTAAATAAATGTATAAACCTTATTTACTCGTATTTTTGCAAATAGTGTATGTCAATATTTATATTTTGAAGCGTTTAAAAAATAAACCTGTGTGTGTGTGTGTGTGTTGTGTGTGTGTATGCTTGCGTGCATGCGTGTCTGCCTGCGTGCGTGCGTGCGTGCGCCTGCGCGTGCGTGCGTGTGCGCGTGCGTGTCTTCGGGTGCAGGTGCATCTATTGCAGGCCATAATTATTTTATTTGGACTTAAAAACATACTTTGGAATTTACTTGTGTTAACGTAAGCTCGAAGCTTTTTTAGTGTTTTAGTTTTTTTATAGGAAAAAGATGACAAGCGAGCACACAGTCCTTCTGATGGTAAGTGGTTGCTGTGGTCTATAGACATCTACATCTATCCTCGTTTGCGAATCAAAATAAAGATGCGTTGTCAGCCTTGAGGGCTAAGATGGAATGCCTCTTTTAAAGTAGTTAGTAAAAAGGGTCTCCGGTTCTCTACACTCACCATAAAAATCATTCTTTTTTTCTTTAAAGTTTTTTTTATAGCATAAGTAAACATTACATCCGATACGTGGAGATTAATGAGTAGAAGATCTTCGCCTTATATTGATTAATTAAACTTACATTTGTTAAAAAGAATGCGCGCAAGGATGTAGAGAATATAAGCTTATCCAGTAGGTGTCATAAGAGGCGACAGAGAGAAACTAAAATAGAAAATGGGCAGCAGCATCTTCCTAATATCAACTCAAAATAATAAAAGAGCTGAGATTGCCAATCCGCCTCCCAAGCGTTGATAGCAATTATTACCCCAAGGAAACAACCTGTAGAGGAGGCCTAAGTTTAACTGTGGTTTTTGACAGACAGCATCATCAATAATAACAAGCAACGTAATCTTCTTTTGTTTGCATGTCATTATTATGGTTGAAATTGTTAACTCATTTATGTTTATTATTATAATAAACAGGTTAACTCCATCTTATGCCATCGTGCTTGCAATATCGTTGACCTGGTTAAGATTCTTTGGATCCGGACCTCTGTGGGGAGTAAGTATAAAATAAGTTATATATATATATATATATATATATATATATATATATATATATATATATATATATATATCAATATATATATACTCGTCGTCTTTACAGCGTGAAAGCCACGAAGAAAACTCCGGAATTTGTTTCCATTTAGCCAAATCATCATCATCATTACAGCCCTTAACAAGTCCACAGCTGAACATAGGCCTCCCCCAAGTAGTGGGCTCAGGACCGTGCTTTGTGGCGTACAAATGCACGGTCCTGAGCCACCTGCATCCATCGACTTCCTGCATGTCTTACCAGTTTGGGGGGGTTTAATTTGGTGTCGTAAGTATCACGAACACGCATTGGTTATACAGTTTAGTTTTCAGAGATTGAGGTATACCTGAGGAGAAGATGTGTCGTGATTTCCCGAACGCGGCCCAGCCGAGTTGAATCCGTCGATTGACCTCTCGGTCGAAGTTGGACTTACCTAGTCGGACTATTTGTCCCAGGTAAACGTACTCGTCAACAACTTCGAGCATAGTGCTCCCCACAACTACCGGCATAGGTGTGACATGGACATTTAACATGATCTTTGTTTTGTCCATGTTCATCTTAAGACTTATCCGTTGGGAGACACCATTGAGGTCATTGAGCACTAGTGCTTAGGTCCTCCAGCGATTCTATCATAAGGACTATATCATCGGCAAATCGAAGGTGAGTGATGAACTCGCCATTGATGTTAATACCGTATCCATTCCAGTCCAGTAGCTTGAAAACGTCTTCCTACGCAGCGGTGAAGAGTTTCGGGATATAACATCACCCTGTCTTACACCTCTCTGCAGTTGGATAGGTTTCGAACTCTGGTTCTGTACTCGGATAGCCATCGTAGCCCTACTGTAAAAATACTTCAGCACTTCGATATACCGACAGTCAACTTGGCACCGCTGAAGGGACTGTAGCACCGCCCAAATTTCGACGGAATCAAAGGCTTTCTCATAGTCCACATATGCCAGGCAAAGTGGCAGATTGTACTCTTCGGTCTTCTGTACAATTCTGCCGCAGGGTATGTGTGTGGTCTATGGTACTGAAACCTTTTCGGAAACCAGCTTGTTTGGGAGGCTGGAAGTCGTCGAGTCTGCGTGCGAGACGATTAGTAATGACTCTCGAAAATAGCATGTAGACGCGGCTCAGAAGGGAAATCGGTCTGTAGTTCTTCAAGAGAGCGTTGTCGCCTTTCTTAAAGAACAAGACCACCGCGCTTCTGCTCCACGCCTCCGGAGTAGTGCCACCATGGAGGACGGAATTGAAGAGCTTCTGAAGGACTTCAAGTACCGGTGTTCCACCCGCTTACAGAAGCTCCGCTGTAATTCTATCCTCGCCCGGGGCCTTGCCGTTTTTAGGGTATTTAGCCAAATAGCTTTGCTGAAAACTATACATGTTTTCTGGATGAATGCGAACAGCTCTATTCAGACAATGTGTCGGTAAAAATTTTGTGAATTGTAGGAAACCCTGTAATTAAGTTCTTCACAAATATTCTCGCGCAAGCTTGATGTAACATGAAACTGGCCAACGCGTCAATTTTTACCAAGTTGTATTCCATTGGTTTGATTAAATTTTTTCTTATTAATTAATTTAAATTCATATGTTATTTTAAAGCAATTAGCTTAAAAAATCTTGCAAGAAATACATTTTCCTTCTAATTTATAAATAATTTACCAGATTCTATACCGACAGTTTAACTTAATTTTTATGTTTAATTTCAGCAAGTAGTAAACAGTGTAGTGAAAGACTGCCGTCGCTACGGTTGGCTGCATTTAATCTATATAAACAACTATATAGATAACTCGTTATGCATGACACATTCTTGGTACGTAGTTTTTGATAATAGAAGCTACTAAAGTTTACTGGGATGAGCTGGAAATTGTGCCAATTAACGTTTGACAAATGTAATTGTAAAGTAATACTTGATACCTATTAAGAAAATTAATTAAGCTAAGTCGTGGTTTCGGGACTACGTTCTCGTGCTGATTTTCCAGAAAGACAATGAACTCACTAGAGGTATATGAAAAAGTTACCGTCTTCGAGTTAAGTACTTGGCCCACGTTGGTGACATACTGACAGTGAAATAAAAATTACGAAGAATCATATGTTGTGTCTGCTAAATTAAAAAAAAATCAGAAACATGTTAAGTTCGCAAACTCTAAGAATCAAAACATTTAACGAATGTTTACATTGCTGGTTAATGCGAGCTAGTAAGGTAATAACTTTAATTGTTGACCTACCACGTGTTGTTATTAAAAAAGAACTCGAAGAATCCTGCATGTCTCAAAAATGGAACATTATCTAAAATACTATATTATTATACTCCGCAACGAAGCGAGGTTTTAAGTGACCAAGTGATGAGTCGTGGCACGTAACTTTAGCGCTGAACGAAACGTGGAGAGAACAGCTGCGAGTTTCGTATCAGTACGGGGGACGGAATGCGACTGGAAAGACAATCAACGCGTGTAAACGATAAGCATAGTCAATCATAAGCAATAATGCGCAATACGGCCAATTATGTGCAATAACGGTCACCGCCAGTCTTTCGTGCCGCGAGTTGTGTAGTAAATTGTTAATTATATAAGAGTTTTTAAAATAAATAAGCCAAAATCATTTAACAATATTTATCTTAATTATGTTATTTAATTTTAGGTACCTTGCTGCGGATATGCAGTTATACATCTTTGGACTGGTATTATTAATACTTGTTCAGAGAGAATATGCTAGAAAAGTAGTATTGTCGGTGATGTTCGTGATAGCCCTAATCATTCCTGCCTTCCATACGTACATTCAAAACTTGAATGCATACTTCATCGCCTACCCAGAGTGAGTAATTTTTTTTGTAAAACTGAAGAGACAAAGGAACCAAATACGTTATTAGATTTTAATAATTATTTCTGAGTCTTATTAAGTATTAGTATTTTCTTAAATAATATATATATATATATATATATATATATAGCTTGCCAGGCAAACGTTGTTCTGCCCTTTTTGACTACCCTTTGTTATGTCCTATTAAAATGCTGAAATTAGCAAAAAAAATTGTGGGTCACTCATGGGCAAAAAAAACTATGCTATCTCTCAAGTTGCACACGGTGTGCAAATTTGATTAAAATCGGTTGAGTAGCTTAGGAGTCCATCGCGGACAAACAACGTGACACTTTTATATATATTGTGTTGAAACAATTTATGTATATTAAGATAAGCAGACCGACCTGGGTACTGTCTACTAGCAATAAGTAAGAATAAAAGGTGTAAGTACCACAATATCAGTTTTTCTCTTTTTTTTTAAGGGATTCATTAAACGCCAGGGATTTATGACATTTTTGAATAAGGTTATGAACATAAATCTTTCTAACTTACAGAAGTTTACTGATCTGATGTAGAGTGTTAGTAGAGAAACTTTAAGTTTCGAAATACATGACCTTTACAAAAGATCTTTGTGCTCTTTCCAGATCTAAGAGGTTGGTATTGGTAGTTCCTCCCCGGATTGGGATGCAATAGGATATTATCAATTGTGTTAAGACTATGTAAATTTTATTTAATAGAGTACTAGACATTTCTGACCTGAATGATTTAAATACCCAGATTAACTTTCTGATCCGATTTGTAACTGCTTTCAACTAACCCTTTGAGGTTTAGCTTACATCGAAATTCGAGTCTTCCTATTAAATTTCTTATCCAATCTACTTTTATCGTCTTGACTCTCTATATACCATCCAATCGATAAGTCATGATCTCTCTTCTTACATCGACCTTTTGCTGAACTTGTTCAACTCTTTGTAAAACCTTCAATTGAAGAATATAAAAAAATATCTTGGTCATGTACAAACCACATATTGATAACGAAAGTGAGGGCAGTGGCACAATTTTTGAACGATACTAGCATAGTTTTCAATACATACGCTTCACAACTTCGCGGAATGAAGTTACCAGGGGTCGAGTAAGGTATTTTTTTAATGAAAACTGCACTCACTGAGAGACTAACGATTACCTACCTGTTATCAACCTATTATCTATACCCTTACACCGAATTAACTTTTTCTACGGAAATGTTCGTTTATTTTGGGCAAATCACACAAACTATATTATGAATCGATATTTTCATCGTTTTTTGTATATGTATACAGTAAATGATATACGTAAAGGAGACGGGCGAAAGTTCATAGAAATCTGGGCCTGATGTTACAGCAACGATTACTGTATAATTTTATTTATCTATGAATACCATTAAAAAAAACTAAAATGTTTACGAGTGCTTCATGGTAGAAAAAAAATATAGGTTGTTATTTTGCTTATGATATACATACAATGTTATTCTCACACCAAGCTCTCACATTTCACTTTAAGAAAATAATTATTAGACTTTATTGTAAACTAGACTTCACCATAATTTTATGTATTGTAGGACATTCACAAATAGAAAATTCAGACGCCGCCGTCCAACTAAATTCTAGAAGTTTGAAATTATTATAAAAAAGCAGAAGGAGAATGAATTAAAAACATTTTCTCTTTTAATGATTTATTAATCGCCCACTTCATCATAAACAAATAAAATATCGTCTAAAAACGGTGCAGGCGGTATTAAATTCTCTTGAGGCGTCAAAAGAATTTAATACCGCCAGCAACGCCTTGCCCGCCTAAGCTGGGCAAGGCGTTGGCCAGCTTAGGTACCATATCATGGACATTACATGACAACAGCAACCTACAGTTCTTTTTCCTACCAAAGAATTGAAATAATACTGTTTGATGATCTCTCTACCATTAAGAGGACTGTCAACTAAAATATATGTAAAATATGTTTTTGAGCTTAAGTATATGTCTCGATTTTATTCGACCTCTCAATAGTCAGCTAGAGTGGTTGGATAGTACCATTCTAGGTGGCTATTAAGAGGTCGAATAAAGGCAATTCTCTTAGTAGGTTGCTGTCCGTTTCTAGACACACTTCTATTTCATATCTCCCATCTTGTATGTGTTCACCATAATGAGACCTAGCCCACGTAATTTGATTAATACCTAAAGATATTTTTATTAAATTACTGTGTGTGAGCTGGGGAAAATCATTTATCATTTTGCACTTCCCTTTTTCTTGTAAAATCAGAAAAGAAACCGTCAGAATCCTTAATACGTAGCCAGAGTCGTCAAAGATGGGAATATTATTACAGCAGAGAAAAACAACAAAATATTCACTACCACCGCAAGCTCAGAGCCAAACAAAAGTTGTACTCTGTGAACAAAAGTAACAAATAATTTGAGTGACGTTTTTAGTTTTTAAACTAACGTTGACATTTCCGCTTTGTGGCCTGTATAAAACATTGATAATCGATTGTGAAATCGATTTATTAATTTATTCAGTCAATTTATTTTACGACTATTTTGAAACGTTAAGGTGTCACGAGGGAACCATTGTTTAAATAAGAAGTTTCTTAAAATTACCTAAAGAAGAAAAGACTGAATCACTTTTTATTGTCTTTTTTTCTATTTTTGTATTAAAATCGATTAACTAACCTATTTCATCTGGCAGCATTGTTTAAAAATAAAAATAACGGAAGTCAGTATTATTCTTATTAAATAATTAATTTCTTTTGCCATGATAAAACTGCTTAATATTTCATTATTAACTACAAAAAAACTTTAAAAAAATATTGATAAATATTTCACTTGTGTAACGTTAGGCCCAAATTCGCCCGTCTCCTTTCAAATTCCTGCCTAGATTATTTTTTCAGATAAACCCTGTAACAAAAATGGTCTATTCTGTCAATATAGACGGCCCCTATACTTATCATTATTTTTGAAAATAGATAAAGAATAATAAATATTTTTGGACTGTACTCAATGAGCTTAAAACAATAACATCCCATATGCTCATTTTTTATGCAAAATTGTACATATATGTTATTGGGGATTTAAAATATAACTCATTTTATTTTATTGATAATTGATTGTTATTCCATAGAAATGGCTCGAGGGATGAATTTACTGAGTTTGAGAAAAATAATTAATACTATTACTTTTTATTCACTTCCCTCCCCAAAGATTGAGATGTTAATTTGATATATTTAAAAGAATCTGTTCTTTGACTCGACGAAATGAATTTGTAGTATTTTGGGATTCCTTCATAAAACGGTATATATTCGAAGTTATAACAGTATATTAACATGTAATGGTACGTACTTATGAGAGCGATCTGATTCTGAAACTAAGAACATGATGTCTACTTTAGAGAATTCTTTAATGGTAACTAGTATAGTCATGAATTTGTAATACAATTTGAATTTTGCATTTTTGGTTGAATAGAAAAATCATAACGATAGCTATGATCTAATATGCATACAACCATAAACTATTAGCTATAGCCAGGATCGATTTCCATTTGAAATTGAGTTAGCAAGTTAATTTTAATTAAAAACAACCATAACTATGACTTGATTTGGAAGCTACGAATGATGTTTTTTTTTTAATTTTGTTATCCCAAAAACTTTTATTAATTACGCTACCATGATATCTTCTTGAGCTTATAGTAAAAATGAATAAATTTTCTTCAACAGATCGACTCGGTTTTATTTCGTAGCGGATCCAACATTCAACAACACGTATAAGCGTGGTCATACCAACTTAGCCAACTACATTTTAGGTCTTGGTCTTGGTTTGTTAATACACAAAATGCAGAAGGAAAAATTCAACATTAAAAAATACAGGGTAAATAATAAACATTTACTCGTTTTATTCTGTTGCATTTAATACAGAATTTTATTGTATAATTACATCAATACGTTAAGATACTTATTAAATTTGATAAGAAAGAAAAAAGAATTTGTCTTTATTTGATCAGGCTTATTTTGAAAAGTACGTATAAGGCGACTATTTTATAAGTACATTTCAAAATAAGTCTGATCAAATAAGATCAATAAGTTGTCACAGCGACAACTACCGCATATTGTAAAAGGCGATTAAGACCTGCAGGGCCGGTTATATTTTAATGCCACAAATGTTCACGTTCTTATGCATAAAGTCAGTTTTTTTCACGGAGAAGTTTCGACGCACATCTGCTTAGCGGAAGCAAGGGCAGCTTATGACAGTCAGTGATTATTCGGCACATTTTCCACGCAAGTAGGCTAGGCTAAGGGAACGCTTTCGTACACATACGCAGCTCTGCCAACACCAGCTGCCTCTGAGCGCCCCTTCAGTGAAGGAAAACTCCTTTAACCTAAAGAATAGGGTCTTTAGGTTAAGCGCGCCAGACTACAGGCGCACCTTTTTACATGGTTTTGATCACAAAATTTTACATTGATACTAAAACTTCATAGATTAAATATTTATTCACATATCGTTTTCATCTTTTTTGTTTTTCAGAAATTCAAATTTGTGTATTGGGCTATCGTTCCCGTTGGCATTGGAGTGATTTTATGCAGTGGTTTATTCTATATGGATGGTGTATCGCCTCCTCTTCTTCTCAAGGCAGTATACTCAGGATTAGTTAAGCCAGTGTTTGGATTTATTACTTTACTTTTGATTTTGGGAATGGTGTTCAAGATGGAAAGTAAGTAGTTTTAATATATTATTATAAGTATTTTTATGTAATTTTCTATTTTCTTTTTTATCGATGTGACTATTTTGATTACTTTCTGTGAATTACAATTCAACGTTAATATTCGTTTGAAAGCAAGTGGATGCTTAATTATTCTTCATCTTTCCATAAATTCGAAATTACTTTGACTTTTAGTTAGATTATCATTATAAATCCTAAAAGGATAACATTTAATTGTATCCATTATCATTACAGCCTACCACAAATCCACTGCTGAACAACCCCCTGCCCCATAGAGGGCTTATTACTTAGAAGCGACTCAATGCTGAAGCTGAATGCTGAGCTGTTCAACATGAGACAACGAGACAATCTATGGGGGAGACCTACGTTCAGCAGTGGACTCTAATAGGCTGTAATGGATAATTATAGTAGAATAGGGTCAAGATGTGATCCCTGGGTAACGCTAAATACATTTTAAACGACTCAACACCGTTAATCACTACGTTAGATTTGCGGTCAAATACATAACTATCCAACCCGTTTAATAGAAAACGTTCAATACCGATATCCATTATTTTACTAGATAAAATCTTCTGTTATACACTATCAAAGGCTTTATATATGTATACCCATATATATTAGGTCTACTTGGGTTCTGCGATCTAGGAGCCCACTTTTTTACTTAAATAAATAAATAATTAAGTAAATAAAATTCGCACTTTCCATGTCGTAGTCTGTAACGGTACCTCCCTCTAGTATACAAGCTCAACCTCGCCCTACTAAAACACAGAAAACTGGATAAAAACTTCAAATCTATGAAAGAAACATTTAAATTTACTTATAATGTACTGAAATATACTTGTATTGTACTGCAAAGCGCAAAGAATCTGTTCTATGGCTAAATGTTAATGATCTCAGGCAAGAAGATTTGAAACATTGTAATTCATCTTACTCTCACTCATTGGCTTACTCCTTCGCTTCGACTGGGTATATATCGGCACTTTTCTAACGTATGCATAACGCATTTATACTAGATGATACTCGCTCGCTTTGCTGGGCACACGATAATATTTTATTGCGGAACTTAGATGTAAAATGTCATGATTTTTTTTATAGGACTATCCTAAACTTAGTACTTATTGAGCATCTACACTGCAAAATGAGTAAATAGACTTAATTTGAAATGAATCGGGTGTATACAAGTATTAGAGATATGGTGATGAGTCATTCAGTAGTATTTCGCTTGTATGTATACATATATACAGATTAATATGGGACGAGAATCCAGCATTTCACAATGAAGTTTAATTAGGTAGATAAATTATTATATAAGTAAAAGTAGCGTATATTTTGATAAGTGAGCCAGATTAGAATTAATAACCATGCCTACTTACTGCTAAACATGGGCGTCTCTTAATGTAGAAAGTATTTTCTATAATCGACACATTCGGCATGAGGATTGCTAATAGATCAATATTGTCAATATGCTACATTTGGCTTGCATAAATACGAGGTGGTGGAGCTATAGGTTCCTGGGTTTAAATTCTGATGAAATGACCACAAAATGTTGCTGAATGGGGTGACTAGGTTACCCTTTCAAATCCGGAGCAAAAGGAACCACAAAATACTTGGGCCACAGGGTTCCGGGATTTATTCCGGGAATAATGACCTCAAAACTATTGGATGCGAGAATAACAAAACTGGACTGTATCTACCGTGGTTAGCTATAACAAAAACAAAGTGGCGGACGTCGCACGTGGCGGATTTTGGACAATACACTTGCTATAACCTATTTTGCTATATTAACCGGCATAACAGTAACATGAGCTGCTCTGGGAAAAGGAACTACAATCGAAAACAGCTCAAGATAGGAACGAGCTTATCTTGTATGTCTGTATGTCTGCAATCGGCCTCTCTCCAAGGCCTCGGGGCGGGTGGCACTACGTTGCAACTGTTGTGAACGGGGCGCGACGATAGATGCACTTGTACACGACGATATTGCACTGTGCAAGCGGTCACCACGAAAATTGTGCTGATCTGTGGCTCAACTACCACACGGTGATATTACAGCCAAGATCACGGCGAAACTGTCCGAGTGGTTGGGGCGCACGTCGACAACTCGGGTCTGCCAGCGGCGTGCTTTCCCTTTCACTTTGGGCCAGCACGTCTTCCATTGGATGAACAAAATGATGCCACCATATCTAACCCCCTCGTTGGGCATGCCTGTAAAAGAGGAGATCGGAAGAGAGAGGGAAGGATATTGCTAGCTAAAATAGTTAATCAAATGTGCGTTTCGGCGCAACCACCAGATTTATATTTTTAAAAACGATACGTTTTGTTTTACGAGCCGTTTTCCAAAAATACCAGTCCGACTATTTATAAACCGTTTTAATTTTTCTCAATTTAAGCCATCCTTAGTTGCTGAATGAATATTTTGTAAATAAAAAAGTTTTTATCTAGCACGTAATATAACAGATAGTATACGAAGAACAAAACGTTTCTTGAATAGGTATAGGAATTTTCTCTAAAGTCGCGCTCATGGTTAAAATGTTTTGGTTTGCCCTTTTATCTGACCAAAAGTCTCAATAAAAAGCTAATTATTCAATAAACGTGTTTAATTCATTTACTTGCCTATGATTCAGATATCTACCGAGGAATCTTCGAGTGGCAAGGTTGGACATCTCCTGCTAGGGTTTCATATTCGGCATACATAATACATATGCTGCTGATCAGATCAATAACTGGATCAAGAACTACGTTGATTCACATCACGCTTCCATACATTGTAAGTATTTATATCAATATATTATATTTCTTCGCGGTTTTATTTTTAACAAGCTGTCCTGGAAAGTGAGTTAGGTGTCATGTTTGTTTATTTTTCTCTCCATTATAACCTGTAACTGACCTTTACCTGACCTGTACCTGACTTGTCTTTTAAGTCTAAGCTTCTCTTTCTTCATCATCACTTATTCTAATAACTCCACTACTGGACAAGGATCTTCTCCTGTTGTGAAGAATTGACCGTAATCTACATGCTTAGCGGGATTGGCATCTTCTGTTGTTTTCCATTACTGGTTTAAGTAATGCCTCGTTGATCTAGTGGTCATAATTTTGAATGCTGATAGTAAGGTACGGGGTTCGGATCTCGGCTCAAGCCAATAAAACTCAGTCAATGAGCTTTTCTGTCGAGATATTTACAGAAGCAGCCTGGAGTCAGAATGTTGGCGGTGTTTCAGCCGCGTACATCGAAGAGCAAGTAAAGGCGTTGATCCTGCGCCTGATCTCTCTCTCTCTCTCTCTCTCTCTCTCTCTCTCTCTCTCTCTCTGATCGTGACGGTTTGCCGTTTAATCAGATTATGATAGTGAGGGAATAAATAGTACACCTGTGTGTGTCCATACACACGAGTTTCATAATCCTGTCTTGCACAGTCTTTATGAAACTGGCTGCCGTCATCATAATCGTCTCTGGCACATATTTATTATTAAAATTATTTAAATCTGTTATTTACTAAATCTTTTCTATAGTTATTACTTATAAAACCCACGCATAGAAATATAGTAACGAGTTTTCTTATGTTACTATCACTTGAGAAACATTTCAGAAGCTTTGGTATTTTTGGTATATTTGTTATCCTTTTTCTTTAACACCTCACCGTAAAAGTAATTCAGTAAATCATTCAGAATCAATTCTACAATTCTATTCTAATGAAAACTGCAACGCACTTCACTGAAACTTATAAAGCATAAACTAGAAGAACATTAACAAATATTTTTATTTCATTTCAGATAATAATACAAGTCGGCACTGGTATACTTTGCTATTTAGTCGCCTTCCCTTTCTGGCTATTAATCGAAGCGCCATTATCACAACTTGTCAATCTCATAATGCCATTGAAGGATAGCGAGAAAATGAAGTCGAACACAAAATTACACAAAATAAATTAAGCACAAAACTTCATTATCTTAATACATCATCGTATTAAGTGCGGATTGAACAGAAATATTATCGTTATTAAGGGGTATTTTTTAATATTATTAGTAATTTAAAATCGACACTTATCGTTTTATATTGATTACCAGCAATATATGTATATTTTGTTCGTTTATGTGTGACTTTTTAATTTAAATAAGTGCAAGGACCAGTTTAAAAATAAAAATCGGTGTTTTATGATGTAATGCTTTAAAACTATCATAACAGAAATATAATTTTATATAAAATTAATTTCTTTTATTTACACAAGTAAAGATGACAAACTAGCACACAGTCCGCTTAATCACAAAGTACTTTACCCCCGATGCCACAATATTGATGTGAAATATAGACACACCTTGGACGTACGTCAGACTTAAACCTTGGGCTTAAATTGAACCCATGCGTAAGATAGTAGGACCTGGTCCAATTTTGTGTTTTATAAAACAATATATAATAATTAGTAATCTTAAAGAAAAATCAATTCATAAAAATAGGAGTGCGTGAACAAGAAGTGCTTGCCACCCGATAACTAAAACTTTTTTTAAGTCAACATCTACGAGTCTCAGCCGGCAGGGGCGTGTCACCACTACAGCAAATCACCGAGCCACTGAGAAAAACAACAACACCTTCTGCATCTTCGATTGTCCTGATACGACTAACGGGCACATAAAGGCAAGTGAGAGTTCTTATTGTTCGACGGCGTCATTAGCATTCTACTTCTCCCGTTATTCTGTTGCCCTAGTACTTCCTGGCAATTATCAATATACATTTTATTTGCGCGTGGCGCCATTGTCAGCGGGATACAACTCTTATTTCCTAGTACCAGCAGCTGCATAAAGCATGTAAAAGAGTGATTATGTGACATCGCCTTCAACAAGCGACATATCTCACGTGTTTTATTGGTCGCCTAGTAACAACGCGCACATATGTCATACATCGCACGGCTGCGATATCTGCAAGTTGCATACCTCCTGTATTTCCCTGCTACTCTGGTAATAGAGAGCGTATCTGAGTGCGTGTTCTAACCTGTGACTGTATCATCAGTAAGTGGTGGTTAATAAATACATCCTGTATATTTCTGTAATCTTGATACAAGCGAGCGCGAAGTTATAATGCCACTAAAACGTACTCCACCACACGCATCTAATGTAACGTGTACAAGTCATCTCCAACATAGTGAATCGGAGCCAAATATGGCTATCGCTCAGGTACAAGAAGACGAGCCAAGCCAAATAAGTATTGCAATGCGCAGTACTAAACGCAAAAGAGAAGACTATAGCGAAGAATTAATTTAACCTTAAAAATGATCTTACACATATGTTCCATTCTTGGAAAACCGAACAAGATAATAGTTATTGTGCTCTGTTATCCACGATGAAAGATATCAAGGAACAAAATACAGACATTCAAAAATCCATTGAGTTCTTAGCCCAAAAGTATGAAGAACTTACTCAAAAAGTCGGTTCTTTATAAAATGAAAATAAGCACCAACTTGAGTATATTAACTCACTGGAATCTAAAATTGACATTTTAGAACGTAACTCAAAGGCAACAACTTAAGAAGTTAAAGAAGTTTCAACAGTTGCATATATACAAGTTCATGAAATCTTGAGTCAATTTGGAGTACCTTTAGAGATTCACAGCGATCAAGGAAGGAATTTTGAGCGACAAGTGAAACACATCAAAACCTAAATCGCTCTATCAAAGTTCCGAATCAAAAACAGTATATGGTTGCGCGGAAAAAAGGAAAATAGTACTCTGACATTTTGTTCGGTTGGTTATTGTTTGCCAGTGTCTCTCCGTCACAACCATGCAGTCAATTAATCACACACTGAAAGGGGGGGTCTGGAATGTGGCGCCACCTTTTCGGCCAATAAGAAACGCGCCCCTCCGAGATGGAGGCAGTAGATATGACCGACTAATAAAAAGGGCCACCTCTGCCGCCGCTACCCCTTCTTGCATAGTAGTCGAAGAGAACCGCTAGTTGTGTCCGCACCTCTGTGGCTGTCGCGCCACAGAACAATCGAGAAGTAACCGCCTCGTATAGTGCGAGTTATCGTCGCGTACTGCTCTTCCAACGTACCACAAGACCAGGAGCGTAGTCCACGCGGCCGCAGGGAACCCCACCCCAGTCAGTATAAATATATATATATATATATATATATATATATATATATATATATATATATATATATATATATATATATAAATTATAGTTGTTCATTATCACTCTAGGATTCCTTTAAAAAACTTTTTGAGAATGGGTGTAATATCCTATTCACTGCTTGTGGGAATACCGGGTGTTCATTAGTGCCTGTGGGAATCCATAATGAGACAAAATTGAGAAAACTGGCAAGAAAGGTTACATAATATCCCATAAACCTGATAGAATTATCGATTATTACATGAAGGCTTTAAAAGTTTTGCTGATATCAAGAATTTTTTGAGAGTGATGGCGGCAATGGTGATACCATCACTCCATATCAAACCGTAGAATTAGTAGGATTCTAGTATGAAAAAGACCAGAAAGACTCCATGACCTGCGATGAATTCATGTAAATAGTGGTTACAAAACAACCAAACTGACAATTGAAGCGATTCATGAGAGAGAGGATTACGGCATATCCTTTTAACAATCAAAAAATGATCAACTACAGATCATAATAGGACATTAATCATAGGACAAGGTTGTAAACTGAGATAATAGGCTAACATTTTCCTACGAAGAAAATAACCAACAATGGATCTTGTTAGAAAGTTTATAGTTACGAATATATATTCTGAGTCTTTTTTCAGTAATAATCGACTGATATTTAATACAATTTTTCAATAATGACTGTTAACGTCGCAAGTAGAATTTGATCCTTAAATCTATATTTTTAAGTAAGAAAAGCTAATCCCTGAATCTTAAGACAGTGTGTGAATGTTACAAATAATGCATGATTGTAAAGATAGGTATGAATAGTTTTTACTTATCTTAAATTCATGGGTTACGTAATAATCTATTACGTAACGTGAGCTGAAAGATTTGAAAGCAATTAAAAGAAAAAGATGTTTTGCTACCGTAATGAAATAAGGTATTCCACTGCATTAAAAAGAGACAGTTTAATGCAATAGTATGAAAGTAAGTAAGTATATATATATATATATATATATATATATATATATATATATATATATATATATATATATATATCGGGAAAGACAAGAATAGTTATATTCTGTTGGAGGAAGTAAATGGGAACCTCTTATATACTCCCAGGAATCACGCAGAATTCAATTGGACAACTTGTGCGATATGCGAAGCGCCTTGTAAAAAATAATAGCATATTATCTATATTAAATTAACGCCCTTTTAAATTATATTGGATACACTTGTAAATGTTCTGTTTGTATGCTTTATTAATGTCTGATAAAAAATGTTATTAAGTTCTTGTTTTAATTATAAATTAGCTAGATATTGTAAATTTTTAGGTCAGATTAAAGAAACATGTTTGCTTAAAACTTTGTATAAGAATACATTTAAATAAATTTATGATTCTATTTCCTCTATTAAACTGTTTAGTTATTTAGGATAGAAAAAGGCAGTATGAAATTTGAATTTAGTAAACTGTATTTAGTATTTTAAAACATAATAAAGTTTGTATTTTGAGTTTTTAAGGTGTGTAACCACATAGAATAAGTTGTAAATTACGTAATATGTATACGTAATATGTCTTGTATTTCGTTAATGTTTTGTATAATGTGTATGTCCCTTGTTTTTGTGATGTAATCTTGTTTATTCTTTTGAGAAAACATATTGTTTTGTATATTTATTTATGGAAAATAAAGATATTTTACAAATTAGGGAAATGTAACAACGAAAATTATACGCGAATTGAGGGATTTTTTACACCTGGGTCACATACGGTTTAGCTACGGGATACTTTAGTAAGGCGATTTATTCGCAGTTATGTCTCTTTCGGCAGAATTGGCCCTACGTCGAGACCCGTCCTCTGCGAGACTCCGTCGGGCTTTGAGACTGCTGACCCTTCGGAAGCGCCTACCCAGGAGCGCGCAATACGCCAACTAAGAATAAAATTAACAATGCCATTCCTGAACGGCTCCAGGGACCGGCCCATAGAAATGAGCTCGGGTAATGGGGAATGCCCCGAGTCCCGAGATCTGCAGGGACTAAGAAGCCCCTTGCAGACTACATCGTACGCAATTGTGAGTCGCGTCCAAACTGCGTTCGTTGCAGGTCACGTCCGCCGGTCGTCGGCTTCCACCAGGGAGGGAGGAGTACAGCGCGTCGCTTCGCAGTGGGTGTACGTGCCGTTGGAGCGATCTTAGCTTGCGTCGAGCTTCGAGATCGCCCCTGACCCCTCCTGGGATTACATTTCCTAACACTGAGCTTAACCTAACATGCTGAAAAGCGAGCGCCGGAGGCCCGGTGTGCTGCTGCTAGAAGAGCGCACACTGTTGGCGATATCGGACCTGCGTCGAGACCCATCTCCGTGGGGCCTTGAAGTCGCTGATCCTTCTGCAGATCCCTTTCCAGAGGCGCGAGATACGCCACGACTGCCTAGAACCAGGCCATAACCTACACGCTAGGAAGGAGCACCTGAGGCCCGGCGTGCTGCTATTCAGAAGCGCACGCCCGTCGGTGGAATTGACTCTACGTCGAGACCCGTCCTCAGCGAGTCACCGTGGGGCTTCAAGACTGCTGACCCTTCAGCAGATCCTTCCTAGGGGCGCAAAATACGCCAAAGCTAAGATAGCCAATAATGCCGTTCCTGAACGGCTCCCAGACCCGGCCCATAGCAGTGGGCCGTGAGGATTACCTGGGTAATAATAATAATAATAATTTTATTTCATTATTCAGGTAAGTACACCCATTTTGTTAGTACACTTAAAACTTAAAAACTAAAAAACTAGGGGTTAGTAAATTCACAAAATACATAAATTATAATTACACAAAAATTATTATTTATTATTAAACATATTAGGTCTGGAACCCATATGCACTGTGTTCCAGTACCTCATTACCGGGCAATCTTGCCTTCCATATATGGAAGCTAGGAGGCCGTTGGTGCTGTCTCGCACGCGACGCATTAAGGAGGCTATTCTTGTGCGTAATATATAATATAATAATTGCTGTAAAACTGTCCACGCGTGCCTCTGAAAACATACGCGATACGCTGAAAAAGCGTGGCAGCCCCAACAACATCCTGAATCCATGTTGTACTGAACACGTAGCGCATTGAGAATTCGGCGAGTACACTTCGTCCACAGGCTGCAGGTGTAGAATATCTAACAGTAAGCTTTGAATAACGTTATCTTAACTTCATTCGTACTCTTAGCAAACCTGCGGGCAAGCATATTACACCTCACTGCCAACGCTCTACGTTCCTGTTCAACATCTAAATTGTCAGAAAGATCCTCGGCGACCCAGTGTCCCAAATATCTGAATTTGGTGACTCTACTCAGTGTAACTCCTCCAAGTTTAACATGAGGAACAGACTTATTTTTTCTATTTCCAGCCTTAAACACGAGTTGTTCACTTTTAATACAATTATATTTGAGACCATGAGCCGCCGCGTACCTTTCACAGATGCCCACTAGCGTTTCGAGGGCCCTGATCGAAGGACTCAGCAAAACCATGACATCGGCATAGCTTATATTATTAACAAAATGACCGTCAATTGAGCAGCCGACTCCGGCATCACTGAGCTCCACGATCAGACCGTTGATGTACAGGTTAAAAAGTTGAGGGGAGCTAAGGCCGCCCTGCCTCACCCCGCACTCCAATCTGTACTCCGACGAATATGAGCCAGCCCACTTCACACAGTTAGATTGGTTGTGATACCAATACTTGAAGAGGTTAATTACTTCTTTGGGTGTGCTAGTTTCCTGGATAAGTTTATCCCATAGCACGTTATACGAAACCAGGTCAAATGCCTTCGACAGGTCCAATAAACACGCGTAAACCGGCGTTTTTCGCATAGTGAATACTGGACAGTATGCTTTAGTCGTAGTATGGCAGTTTCAGTTGAAAGCCCCGGCCTGAAACTAAACTGAGCCTCATGTAGGTGAATGTGTTGGCTAAGTTGCTGATCAAGCAAACTGTCCAGAACCTTTACAACTACGATAGCCAAAGATATTGGGTGATAGTTGGACCCAACGGAGGCATCACTAGTCTTATTTTTATAATATTGGTACAACCATGGTTTTATAAGCTCTCCAGGTAAGTACGCATGTCCTAGACATAGGTTAAACAATAGAGTTACCACCCTTGGTAAGTGCACACCCGCATGTTGCAAGTGCTCAATGCTGAGGTCGTTGTGACCAGGAGACTTACCCCTAGTCAACCACATTACAAGGATTTGTATTACATATCATTTTCATTTTAAGAGGTAATCTAGCTAGCTCATAATACACTTCTAATCGTACATCTACCATTAGAAGTGTATTGTGAGCTATCATCATCCGACCAGTATACGTCATAATTAACCTTTACTTTATTTACACATTGCCAAGCAGCCTCAGTAGTGAGACAATGAACAAGCCATCGCGTACATTTATGCGCTTAACTAACACAAGTGTGAGTATTAGAAGATAATCCCAAATTGATCACATCAGCACAGAGTCAACTTCGCTCATCACAAAAATTCATTAGTTCAGTGAAAAACTATTCTTTCGGATGAGCGTTAAAATCACCGAAAATAAAAATAGATTCTATTTCACTACTTTCGATTCTCCGATTCCACACTATCTACCGGCATATACACAGAAAATACTTTTTTTGATGTTTCTGCTTCATGGCAATCTGCTTTCCAGCCATAAGCCACTTGTTTGTTTGATTTCTAAGTTTATGTTTAAGCTACTTCATACAGACCTATCAGCCTGCTACCAGTTATTGGCAAATTGTTTGAGAGGATATTGCTTAACAGGATGAAAGAACATCTAAGTACAGTATTACCGAACCACCAATTTAGATTCCGGGAAAAACACGGGACAATTGAACAGGTACACCGTATAGTTGACACCATCAGCAGATGCCTTGAAAACAAATTATATTGCTCTGCAGTCTTTTTGGATATCAGCCAAGCGTTTGATAAGGTATGGCATGACGGCCTCCTGTTCAAGCTAAAGAAGCATCTCCCACATTGTCTATTCCTAATATTGAAATCCTACTTAGATAAAAGATGCTACCAAGTGAAGTACGGCGATGATCTCTCAGAAGTACACGAATTAGAATCAGGTGTCCCTCAGGGCAGTATATTGGGCCCTATACTCTACCTCATTTTTACAGCAGATATCAAAACAACTGACCACACCACGACTGCAACATACGCTGATGATACGGCGCTTCTGTCGGCTCATAGAAACCCAGAAACGGCATCATCACAGCTGCAAAAGCACCGGACAGAATTTGAGAGGTGGCTGAAGCATTGGAGAATAAAAGTCAATGAGAAAAAATAGGTACATGTAACGTTTACTCTTAGGAGAGAAACATGTCCACCGGTAACGCTAAACTGCAAAGTTATCCCTCAAGAAAATAACGCAAAATACTTGGGCATGCACCTAGACAGGAAACTTACATGGCAAAAACATATTTGGACAAAGCGCAAACAGCTAGATGGAAAACTGCGGACACTGAACTGGTTACTGGGACGCAAATCACAACTAAATCCTAACAGCAAGATGCTAGTGTACAAAACAACCAATCTGGAGAAACGAAATACAACTGTGGGGGACGCCCAGCAACAGTAATATAAATATCTTGGAGAGATTCCAGACCAAAGCTCTGAGAACAATGTTTGGCATCCCTCATAGTATAAGTAATAGATACATATACCTCGACCTCGGCCTAAAAACAGTTCGACAGGAACAGCCTGAAATACCAGGAGAATCTGACCGCCCATGTAAACAAACTGGCACACGCTTTGAGCGGAGAAGGCACTCTTCGGCATACACGGCCCATCACGCCGAATGGCTTGGTTCACGTTTAACCGATCATGCAGGGAGATCTGTTCATGATTTTGCCTTGGCATATAGTCTGACACAACTGGTTACTTCGCCTATGCGGATTCCAGATGTGGAGGATCATGCACCTTCCCTGTTGGACCTTCTGCTGACCTCTCACCCGGACGGATATCAGATTTCCATCGACGCCCATTTAGGCTCCTCGGACCATTGTCTTGTTCGGAGTGTGGTGCCACTCACGCTGAAATCGCAGTTGCATTCTGCAGGCTGCCGCCATGTTTGGCACTATAGGTCAGCCGATTGGGATGGGATACGGTCTTTCTTTGCATCCTACCCTTGGGTTTGCTTCTCGCCGGACGATCCCAACGTTGTTGTGGATTCTGTCACTGATGTGGTACTTCAGGGTATGGAACTTTTTATTCCTTCCTCTGTGGTGCCCATTGGAGGCAAATCTCAGCCATGGTTTGGTCGCTCCTGTAAAATAGCATCATGCTATAAGCAGGAGTGCTACCAAGCCTGGGCTGACGCATCAGCGTCCCGAGATGTAAACACCATCGCTCTAAAAAAGAGGTATAATTCCGCCTCTAGGTCCTTCAAAAGAGTCATTGCCAAGGCAAAGTCAGAGCACATAGGCAGAATTGGCGAGAAACTAGTTCGCCTTCCTTCTGGAACCCGTGCATTCTGGCCTCTCGTCAAGGCTTTCCAGGGGAATTTCTGTCAGCCATCTTTTCCATCTCTGCACAGGAAGGACGACTCACTGGCCCATACCGCAAAGGAGAAAGCCGATCTTCTAGGCTCTTTCTTTGCGTCCAACTCGACTCTCGATGACGGGGGGAGTACGCCGCCGACCATCCCGCGGTGTGAGTGCTCCATGCCGGAAGTGCAGTTCACACAGCGCTCGGTTCGCAAAGCACTCCTCTCCTTGGACATCCACAAGTCGAGTGGGCCTGACGGAATCCCCCCAATTGTGCTGAGGACGTGTGCTCCAGAGTTGGCACCGGTCTTAACACGTCTTTTCCGGTACTCCTACTCCCTAGGTGTAGTGCCAAAATCATGGAAGACGGCTTCCATCCACCCGATCCCTAAAAAACGCGACCGCTCAGACCCGTTCAACTACCGGCCTATCGCCATCACCTCCTTGTTCTCCAAAACAATGGAGTCCATTGTAAACTGACAGCTTATGAGGTACCTTGAGGATCACCAGTTGATTAGTGACTACCTATACGGTTTTCGCCGTGGTCGGTCAGCTGGTGATCTTCTGGTCTACCTAACTCACAGATGGGCGGAGGCAGTAGAGTCCAAGGGGAGGTATTGGCCGTTAGTTTGGACATTGCGAAGGCCTTCGTTCGGATATGGTACAAAGCGCTTCTTTCGAAGCTCCCTTCCTATGGGCTTCCCGAGAAATTGTGTGATTGGATCACCAGCTTTCTTGCAGATCGGGGCATCAAGGTCGTTGTAGACGGTGCAAGCTCTGATTGCAAGCCTATTAATGCTGGTGTTCCACAAGGCTGCGTGCTATCGCCAACGCTGTTTCTTCTGCATATCAATGATATGTTGCAAACCCGTAACATTCATTGCTATGCAGATGACAGCACTGGTGATGCTCTTTACACCGGCCGAGCCAATATTTCTCGGGAAAAGGTCTCCGAGTGCCGCGACAAACTTGTGCCTGAAGTCGAGTCTTTACTGAACAGAGTCTCGGATTGGGGGCGACTAAGGTCATATTATTATCAGATATTTGTGCCCGCTCTGGAGTTTTTTTACATTGCGCTAGATACAAAATGCCAAATGGTCCACTGCTACCGTCATAATTTTCATATTGTAATAAGTTACGAAAACCGCCTCTATTAGCATTGACATAGTTTTCGGGTTCAATATTGTTAATCAGTGATGCTTTTCGTAGATTACATACTTCCATTTTTAGCTCCTTTAGTTCTTTAGCCGTCACACACTGTTCTCTAAGCTCTTGTACTTGATTCTTAAGAATAATTATATATTTTAATAGCCTTGTGAAGTCTATATGATCAAACGTAACCGGTGACAGTTTCCGAAGCTCCTTAGCCACAAAAGTAGGTGCTCTATGCTCTGTTTCAGTACATTTAATGAGCGAGATAATGTCTTCCCGGTCCCGTTGTGTTTTTACTTTCACTTTACCTTTCCTTATTTTTTCTTTTCTTTAGTTCGCACTGATTGATACAGTAAGTCCTTAGCAGCCATAATATCCTCATCACTAAATGCTGTTATACATAGACGATGTCGTGAAGCGACAATTAAAAACTATAGAACCTAACCTAACAACGAAATAACCAAAAAGAAAATAATTTATTTAACAAAAATTGTAAAGATATTTACAGCTATTATTTTATAAAAAAAATATTATTTTTTTATAAAAAAAAGGTATGAGGGTGATGATGGGCTGTAGTGATGATAGTGAATTACAATTTTTTAAAAAAAATAAAAGTTAATAAAGATAAACGAGTACGGAAACAATGTATGTACAGGCTATGCCTGTGGTAGATGCACAGCGCCTAATCTAGGTACACGCAGCGCTTGAAGTAGGCACACACAGCGACCAGAATGAGCACACACAACACCCGGAGTAGACACACACAGCGCCTGGAGTAGACACGCAGCGTCTGGAGTAGGTCCACGCAGCGTCTGGAGTAGGTAAACACAGCGTATTGAGCAGGTACACGCAGCACTTAGAGTAGGCACACACACACCGCTCGGAGTAAGCACACACAACGCCCGGAGTAGACACACACAGTGCCCGGAGTAGACACACACAGCGCCCGGAGCGCCGGAGACACGCAGCGTCTGGAGTAGGAACACGCAGCGCTTGAGACAAGCACGCTCAGCGGCCGAAGATAGCGCGGGCACTAATAGGTGGAGGCGTAGACGTGGCTAGGCGACGACTTCAGGAGAAGGCAGAGGCTTGCAAGATCCCGAGGCAGTGCGGATAAAGCCTTTAAGAGGTGCTTCTCGTATCAAAGCTGAAGTGAGAACCTCTATTGGCCGATTCCTCGGCTTTTATATTTTTTGACGGATCTGGGATAAGAACGAGAAATTATTTGAATTAAATTTGAAATTATTTAAATTAAAAGCAAATTTTTGTAAATGGCCAAGAGAAAAAGAGTATTTATGTGAAAGTGTGGAGTAAAAACATCGGACCAGTAACGAATTTCGAATAAAAATTGCCATGACAACCAGATAAACAACGATGTCAAAACATGTCAAATTTTGGTTTTAGGCTCGTAATAGAGAAACGGCAAGATTTAAGTGAAAAATTAGATATTATTGATATAGGAAATGAGGTAGCGCAACAGTGCGCACGAAGCCCGAAATTGCAGAGTTACGGAGAACTAAATAAAAGACCGAAAAAGGTAGACTCCATTGACACCGATTTAAAAAGTGCTGATAACGTGAAAATACGAAGTGAAAATGATTTGTTATTGTGTTCTTATGGTTTAAAAACGTTACAGGATCCTATGGAAATAAAGGTGATGCAAAATATCCAGTTTTGAGGTGAATGCAGAAAATCAAAAACAGAATGGAAAAATAAATTTAAAATAGTGTAAAATGATATGGTAGCATAACACTACATTTTCCCCCCGACCCTGGAAAATTTTTGACTCAGCAAAAATTTTGATATGTACATTCTAAAATAAACCATAAAAACACATCTTTGCAGAAACAGACATCACCAGGCAAAATCAGATATACTATCACTTACATTCATCATCTGCATTCAGGTAAGGGTGGAGTTCACATTCGATGACTACCACTCTAAAAGTGTGTTTTCGAAAGGACATTCAGGCTTATTTAAGGAGTTGTCATCCGCTCCTGCGTGGAAAAAAAAACATTTTGAAAGGACATCCAGGCTTATTTAATGAGTTGTCATCCGCTCCTGAGTGAAGATAAAGTTAAAGAAATTAATCTTAAGCAAGCTTTAGTCGCTATGACTTAAGTAAATGTTAAGAACGGCCAGAGCGGTAGGGCTCAAAGCCAGAGATGAGCAACATCACTAAAAGGACATTCAGGCTTATTTAATGAGTTGTTATCCGCTCCTGAGTGAAGATAAAGATAAAGAAATTAATCAGGTAGTAATTATACATATATACAAACATATATACAAATATACAAACATATATACAAATGTAGTGTCATGCAAAACAGTATTAGCTGGTTCCTCACATCTAATCTTCACTTCGTATTCGAGTTCGGCCTTGTTAAGGAATTCGTACTTAATAACCCTTTTCATTGTTATAATTAAGTGCAAAGTTAATTTCAAAAAATGAAAATTTAATTAAAAATTGTACCTCTTTAAGTTATCTAGAATAAAAATATTAAAGTGATGAATGTAAGTGAAGTGTTATATGTAGGTCTAAATGTATTCCAGATAAGTTGAAAAACTAGACGAAGTTTTGTTTTACAATTTGGAAGATATGATAACGATGAGTAAATAAAGAGTTAAGAACGAAAGAGAAAGCAATTAA